AATTGTGAAGTGAATTGTGAATAGCGTTGCGATCACTCTACATTTCCAACATATTAACAAAACTATATAAAATTACAATGCTTATTTTATATTATATTTTGATATAGGTAATTGGAACCATATTTTAGTTCTCATTGTTTAATTTGTAATAAATTGTATAAATTAAATAAACTGGGAAACAAGGTTAGGTTTTTGTGGAGAAAAAAAGGGGAAAGTCATGAGTAACTTATGTAAAAAATTTTTTGTAAATTAAGGGGCGTAACCAATAAACAGAGGGGGTAGTTAGTAGTTTGTTGGACAACCACTAACCATGCGGTTCGTATGAAAATGAAAGGGTTTTATTCGTGGTGAATGAAACTCTTTAATCTATTTATACCGGGGTTTGCACGGGGGTGCGTGCAAACAAGTGATTCCATTCGCTTGCCCTTTTATGACTTTTAATATTTTTCCTCTACAATATCACAAATGTGAAAATTTTGTTTGAATTAAAAGTTCAAAGTTATCGGGTCGTTTGACGACATTTGTCAAACAAGGTGTCGAGCCGAAAATGGGGTAAATGGGGGTTGGTGATTTATGAAAAAGAAAAATGGTAGTATTTATGGACATCAGAGGTATGCCATAACATTAAACTATGTCGTTTGAATTTAAAAAAACAAAAAATAACACATCCAAAATGTTTTTGTGTCTGCATAGAAAAGAACCAAAATCATAGAATATTTAGGGATTTTTGCAATTTTTCGATAGGTGGTCGTATCGAATGGGGCCAAAACGCAGCATTTTGGATGTGAATTAAACTTTTTTGTTATTTTAGGTTAAAGAGAGATAAAACTTCCTAAAAATATAACTAAAAGGATAATTTCAGGTAATCGACAGAATATCTGAGGGGTGTGCCCTATCAGCAAACCCCCGGTCATATCAACATCAAATAAACCCCGGTACAAATAGGGTTAAGGAAATATGTAGATACGTGTGTAGTAATAGGTTGTGTATTATTGTTGGCGATGTTTGAAATCAAAGGTATGCAAGGAGGTAGTTACAAAAGGATAACAGAAGACAAGATAGTCGAGCGTGCGAATCAGCGATCCTTCAACCCGTGTTTTGAGCCTTTAGACTGGAAATTTAGGACGAGAAACTTATCTGTGACCGAATTCACATCAGACGAGTTTCCAGGCTCTAATATGAATTATGAATAGGTCCCGAACTAGGGCATGAGTAGTTGAATCAGGCCTTTATATAGGCGCTGTTTATATGATCTCGGTTATCCAGGTAAACTTGTGATCATAATCAGTTGTAGCAGCTGAAACGCAAGTGTTTATACACTGGCGGTCAAAAAGAACTGCTCAAATGTTGCTATTGTCGTATGTAACAAGAATCGTAACAACCAATCTTTTATTGTACACTAGCGGTCAAAAAGAACTGTTTAGATACAAATTCATAAAGAAGAAGCGAATATAGGAGAGAGCTTCATAGGAATTTTGGATAATTCTCTTATTCCAAGCAATATTTCAATAATGTAATGCAACCTGCCACACTTCCAAGATATAGTCAAACAATGGTGTCAGGAAGAGGGAGTGACAGAAATGGATTCGACTGCACGGTCAAAAGACCTTAACCATATCGAACATCTGTGGGACAATGTGAAAGCGATAGTGCAAGAAAGGAATTAATTCATAAAGCGTCCATGATTTATGCGTAGCTGTAAAGACTGTCCATATAGGATGAATTTCTTTTGAGCATTAAGATTACCACCTTAACAGAAAGTATGCCACGCCGGTGTAAGGCCGTCATCAATTATAAGGCCGAAGGAGGGTCAACAAAATATTAATATTTCATATAGCTTAGCATGTATCTAGTCTATATTTACTCTTATATATTGTTAGAGGGACAGTTACGTTCATTTCAGAGCATTTTAACTTGTTTTGAGCAGTTCTTTTTGACCGCCAGTGTATTAGGAAGTTTTAAACTCGTCTCGGCTGGTTGGGTCAACGTGGGTGTGACACGCTGTTTACGAAAAAGAGTAACCCTAGTGGTAGGGAGAACCATGTAGCCTTACACTGTCTCGGCCTCCAGGGTTAACTTTTCCTACCGGTGCGTGCGCAATAGCGAATAGAACATTGATTAAAAAGACACTATCGCTTGCTATTTGTTTGCAATTTTATCATATAAAGGGTTGGCTTGGTATAGTTGTCTTGGGAGTATGATGTCCCCGATATACGAGATCAGATAAACAGCGCCCTAGTCTTTGACTTGTAAAGCAGTATTTCAGATAGGTAGACCGTAGACACTGAGACTGAGAGCCATGCGAAGGTTTGCAGGTATTGTTCAGTTTAGGCCACTAAATAAATACTTCTATGATGAGAGAACATGCATTGGAAGTATATGTGAATATCCTGATACGGTTCCAGTAAAATAGTAATAGCAATAATAAAATGCCAACATCAACTAAGTCTAAGATGTCTACAAGACGACGACACAAGACAATAATAAAACGCATTCTGTTGGATTACTAACGCGGTAATATTCACATTGACGTTTATATTAGCTAAAATTAAACAGAGCATCTTAGTCCTATTTCAACTTTCTAACTCCAGTTATTAAACGTGCCAAACATCTTTGGTCTATAATTGTAAACGAACTAACACGGCTGTTTGTCGCGTCCGATAACCGCATTACCGCAGGAGAAACGCAAGTGACAAATAAGGCTATATACACCATATATGGCAGGGGCTCTCTCGTGTAATTGGGGTCTTTTTATGAGGGGTCAGCACTGCCAAGTATAGTAGGCATATCTGGCGTCAGCACGAAAAAATCCGCCATGTTTCTTGCTTCACTTTTTTGACAGGAGCCGATCCTCCAGGAATTATTATATAGCTCAGTGGCCTTTACTCGAGAACTGGAGAAGACCCTGGGGAACCTGGGGACGAGGATGGAAACACACCTTTCTCCGTTTCCAAAACAATCGGTGGATATAGAAATGAAGAATGTTTTGCACTTTGTGAGAATAAACCAGGAAGTAAAACAGAACTCAGAAAAACTCGCTGATTATAGATCAAGAAACCTCGTTGTAAGTAGCGTTATTGTATTACTCATGTGACTTTATATAAGCCTATATTTCAAAAACCATGTAATTTCATCGCATTTCTAAGTCTCTGCAAATACTGCCAAAATTATATCGATCGTTTGCTGAGGAGCGTCAACATGACTCCGTCTAAGTTTTTACTAACGAGAAATACGAATTATCCTGTACGAATATATCATACCTAATATCATTTTACGTTACAGTGCAGATACTTTTAACTAGAAGTTTAATGGCAACTTGAAAACTAAACGAAATGTTTCGTAATCTGCAATTTGTTGTATTGCAATTGCCTAAGTAGGTTAGTATTGAAACTCGAAAGGGAAATACATATCCACACTATTTTTCGTGCGTTTGTTTTTTAGGGGTTCTTCGCGAAAAAGCTTATGTAATTCCCCTGTTAGGCTTTTACCACCGCATATTTTATAAGAATAGCAGATGGTTGTGTATTTAGTAGACAAGAACTGCCCCATGCTATAGCAACAGTGTATAATGTGTACATAAATAGCTGAAAACATCAATCAAGCTAGACTAAATGACTAAAAGGTCATTAAATGTTTCTTATATCTCAAATATTTCAAGTGATAAATTACATATCCATACGTTTTAAATATAGCCAGATTTTTTAAGGCATTGGATGTTGCTTATTTGAATTTATCATTCACTTTATTGTATTCTCAATTTTGATTGGTTAATTTACCTGCAGTTAACAGCGTGCAAATAATACTCTGAGCATGAGCATTGATATCAATTTTGTAAACAATACAAACATTCCAACTGCCCCGTTTCACCTGGGACTGTCCCAATTTTGACTGTGTTGCCCCTCTGTCCTGCTTTTATTCTAATTATCCAGTTTTCTGTAATATGTTGAAGGTTGTTATGTTTTCAATTTTGATATGCCTAATAGTACTTATATGATAAACATTAATGAATTTTTTTTGCTTCAATAGTATTGAATACATATTTATCCAATGGAAGTTTTATTCAGTCATAATGGAACAATTTAGTTTTTGTGAAATGTGTGTATTTTTTGGTAGTTTCTGTTTAAATGAATTTACTAGTGTTACATGAAGTAAAGGACCATGACCAAAGCAGATGCAATATTTGTGGGCCCTTTAAGGTTCTACAAGCATTTTAGCAGCTAAGGAAAATTGGGGATTCAATTGTCTTGGTTTTGAGGGTTTTAAGGTTGGAATGTCTGAATAATGGCGACTTGCTTTGCTGAACTTTTGGAAAATGAGTTGTATTGCTTACTCTAAGAAAAAAATGTGGAAAATACAAAAAATTAATAATATATAAGTGAATGATAAAACAATTATTGAACTTGTTTCTCGCAAAATATTGTGATTTGTTGTGACCTTGTCCAATAATTGATTAATATCTATTGGAGGTCAAATCTGAGTGTATTTGTTACAAGCTCCCAAGGGCAAGAGATGCATTAGAGATTGTTTGCTAGCACTGTAGACTGTAGTTATTAGTAATGCAATATGAAAATTCTGGTAATGGGTATTCATGAACAATATCAATACTGATACCAATTTTGGCAATTGGATATTCTGTTTCACTTCTAATTTAGCAATTTTGCTTCTAATAAAGAAACTTGCTAATTTGTTTTAGCAAATTTAGCAAGTTGTGTGAATTTCGTTTGTACTACTGATACAGATGTACCATTACAAACATCAGTACTTTACTATGCAGTATTCAATCAAAATCAATTCCACTACAGCACTTGTAACAAATCAGTAACTGATTTCACAACCAATATGGAGATCTTATAAACACTCCATGAATACATGATTCCACATTTATTACGGATATTAGGTACAAATACTATTCAGGAGGTGTCTTTATTACGTAACTTGATTGTTATGATTAATTTTATTACTTGCTTTACTTGTTTTAAAGTCAAAATTTCAGCTTTTCAACTTTCTTCCCAAACTCAAAACAGCGAAAAGTCAATATAAACCAAATCTTAATATGGCATGTGTCGTTTTAAACTCTTGGCCATGTGGGTTGATTGTTACTGTAACGTTAAGTCACGGCCTCCAACCTAGGTATTTTCTTGGTGAGGTATTTTCTAAACTCTCTCATCAATCACACTCTCAGGGATGAACAATAGTCTCCGCTTCACTAGCTCTGACATAAATGATAACACTAACTACTATACAAGAGAACTACAGAGTCGCTCGATGTCAAATGTCGGAATGATGATGGATAGCTGGCAGCACAATGCCAAGGAGGGCGAGAGACCATTTCGTGTACAAAAAACGAATTTGCCGGTGCGAGGGACGGTATTTTCAATGTTTAGTTACTTATTTTTGTGACAGGTCTGAAAAGACTTTTCCATGATTATTCCCAAATACCAGCACTACAGCAGCAAATATGGAGGCGCCAATTTAGGTAGTAAGAAAATATAAACAAATCAGATGGATTTAATTTAAAAAAATACTATATCGTATAGCGTATTCTAAAGATGGTTTTTATATTTGTATCCTATAAAAAAGTCTTGTTTTCTTAACTTTTTGTTATTAATGTTGTATTCCTTTTATTTCAGGTGTAAAACTTCCAAGTTTTTGTAAAAATGTCTGGCGTTCTTATTTTGTTTTTTCTTAGTTGCATGCTGTTCTTGTGTAGTGGTAAGTCTTTAATATCCAAATATTTCTGCTGATGCACTTGTGAATCACGGAAAATCATTGACATTGAGCTTGTTCAGAAAAATTTAATGCTTTAGAATTGCTATTGATGCTACTCCAGATGGTTCTCTACACGTCCAAAGAAACCTCAATCTCGTTGCTTGGACATTAGCGTTTTTTTTATAGGGAAATCTTGTAGGAATGAGCTTGGCGAACCGGACACGAACATCGTGCTTTAAAAAAAACATTTATACCTTATATATGGATTTGGGTTTTATATTAATAGTTCATGCAATACCAATCTATTTATTTAAATTACTATGGGAACCGTTGAAAGCGGTAGTTTATTGTTTTTCTTAGGAGAGGTGAATCCACCACCAGGAGGAACCAGGTTGACATTTTTAAACGGATCAACAGCGACGTTACAGTGGTCATTAGATGGTGTATCTGGCATTAGATTTCGGACTTGGAATTTTAAAAGTAGTGACGGGTCAGCTGAGGAAGGAATTGCGGAAATCATTGTAAATGACCCCCCTCTCATACTAAACAGCAGTTTACCTCGAGTGTCAGTAAAAACTCCAGCAACCCTGATTTTACACAATGTCACGGAGAAATACAATGGAACATATAAACTTACCCTTGCAGCAAGATCAGGCAGCGGGAGTTCTGAAGTTGTGGTTTATATTGCAGGCAAGTTTCGGTGGAAAATTTTTTTAACTGCAAATTAAGTGTATTGTCTGACTTGATCGTAATTGCACTGGCAAAGCAAAACATGTTCTTATGGTACAATTTTTTGTATGCCAAAACTAAGCCATTTATTGTTTTGATAATTTTTTTTTATCAATATCTGTTTCATGAAAATACAAGAGACATTTGGTCCTGAAATCGGGCTTATATAGTTGTATTTTATTCCACACGAAAAACTATCCGCACACGAGAGTAATTTGCTGAGCGTTAAGCCACGCGAGGTCTTTAACTCAGCTAATAGCTCTCGTTTCGGGCGGGCTTAACCAACTATGCGCAGATATTCATTACTCACATCTCGCTACACAAAAGATTAGTCAGCATCATCATATCCCTTAACAAAAATGTTGGTTACTCACCACAGTTCTCCTGCCGAAATATTCCTTGTTTAACGATTTTAAGATTAAACGTGACAGGATTTTACTCATCAAAAGGTCGACAAGCTGTTGTGAGATATTGTGTCGACGAGGTATTCGATGTATATAGCATGTTAACAATGTCAATAACAAGCTGACATTTTTAGTTAACCTTTACACATGTTATCTAAATTCAGTTACGCCATCAGTGTGGATCAATTGTTCCCGTGTGACCACAGTGAATACAAGCGATGATTTTACATGTGTATGTAAAGGGGAGGGTGGCAACCCCCCTGCTGAAGTTACTTGGTATAAAGGAAACAAAACAATGGCCACTGGAGTTGAAGAAGCAACATTACGTCTTAGAAATGTCACTAAAGACAACTATGGAAACTACACGTGCGAAGCCAAAAGTCACGAAGAGGCAAAAAATGAAACAGAAATTATCTTAAATGTCAATTGTAAGTATAAACTAGGCTAGGCTAGATGTACAATTATTTCTTTAAGGCAGGCAATGCTTGATTATTATTTGCCTTTCAATGTATAGCGTTTTTCGCACAATATAAATTAAATAAAAACATCCTCTATATATTTGTAAGGTACCAAAATTTAAGTTCACGTTCCCTCTATCTAATGAAATTTATTTCAGTGTAATGGCTTTGACTCGTTCGAAAGTTTTTTCAATCAAATCGGAGTACTTCTTTTTTGAAACGTGTCCCAAAAAATGCATTTGGTACAATGGCGGTCAAAACGAACTGCTCAAAACAAGTCAAAATGCTCTCAAATGAACGTAACTGTCCCTCATACGAGTAAATATAGACTAGATTACATGCTAAGGTATATGAAATATTAATATTTTGTTGACCCTCCTTTGGCCTTATAATTGATGACGGCTTTACACAGGCGTGGCATACTTTCAGTTAAGGTGGTAATCTTCACGGTCAAAAGAAATTCATCCTATGGAAAGTCTTCACAGCAACGCATAAATCATAGACGCTTTATGAATGAATTCCTTTCTTGCACTATCCCCTTGACATTGTCCCACAGATTTTCAATAGGGTTAAGGTCTTTTGACTGTGCAGGCCAATCCATTTCTGTCACTCCCTCTTCCTGAAACCATTGTTTGACTATATCTTGGAAGTGTGGCAGGTTGCACTACATTATTGAAATATTTTTTGGAATAAGAGAATAATACAAAATGCCTATGAATCTCTCTCCTATATTCGCTTTTTGTTTAAGAATTTGTATCTAAACAGTTCTTTTTTACCGCTAGTGTACAATAAAAGATAGATTGTCACGATTCCTGTTACATACGATAATAGCAACATTTGAGCAGTTCTTTTTGACCGCCAGTGTATAATACAATTTTTTTCCTAGATAAACCTGTGGGTACAACCATTCAGTTCACGCAGTTTTCAGTTCTAATTAACGAATCCGTAACCATAACCTGTGCTTCGAATGGGCTTCCTAAACCTAATTTCATCATATCCCACAACGATACAAAAGTTGCAAGTGGCATGACGTATACAATACCTCGAGTGAACAAAAATCATTCTGGAACATACAAGTGCGTTGCAAGAAACTTTTTGGGATACGATTCTGCTTCCCGCTTTCTACACGTCCTTGGTAAGATAATAGGGCGATTTAGCATCAGGACGTGAACGTCAAAGACTACGTGAAAATGGCGAATAAATGGCGTGATGCGCTCAAATATGGACATGCCACGCCATTTACTAGCCATTTTCACGTCGTCTTTGTCGTCCACGTCTTCATGCTAAATCTCCCTAATGAGACACCGACTTTGTAGCGTCGGTCGTTGTAGCTCTACAGGTCCAATAAAGACAAAAAATCGGGTATTATATATTTTACGTCTGAGTTCTGGAGGTTTGTAGAATAAACATTTAAATCTCCTCAAATAAATTTCCATCGCCAACATCTACAGAACAATTCAATATCCACTTCGACAATCTTTATAATATTTTTAGAAATTTTATGTCAGCGATTCTATGTTGAGTTTATATTTGACACTATATTGCTGCTGTTTTCCTTGCAGACGTGGGCATCTAAACGCCCTCGTGTTTGACTTCATGGCATGGGTATGCTTTCAACTTCTAGGATAAACCTTTTTTAAACTAAGCATTGACGAGAAATCGGGTGCGGAGAAAGAAAAAGTTGACTTAAGTTTGACAATAAATTTTTACTTTAATTTACATCAGTATTTCCTTAAATAATCCATAGACCTCAGTTGTCTTATGGAAGTACACAAATATTGTATGCATCTTTGAATACATTTTTTGTTATGAAATAAGCTCTGTTTCAATTTATGTGTATACAGAACAGACTTTAAACATACTGACAACACGATTTTACTTTATTTTAGTGAAGCCAAATGTGACAATAAATTGCTCCAGTCCTATCAATGTAAGAGAAGGCGATTATTTTATATGTCAATGTTTGTGTAAAGATGGCATTCCTCCAGCAAATTGTACTTGGCTTAAAAATGGCGCCCCGATTGATGAAACGGAAATGGAAAAGAACACGTTAGTCCACCGTATATATAGAGAGGATGGTGGAAATTACACATGCGTTGGTCGAAGTCACGCTAGAGCACAGGATAAAAAATCAGTCAATGTATCTGTTTACTGTAAGTATTTACACAGAGTAGAATGCAATTACGTCTGAAATAAAACAAATTCGTGATTACGAAATCGCGCATGCGTAAGCGCGAAACAGAAGTTCGGATGTTTAATTACATGTCTGATTTCACACAAAAATTTCACGACACGAAGTACCTTGTACCACTTTATATATATTATAGTAATTTTATAATCTAAAATAGATTCATGAACCGTAGACTGTAGCGCCTGTTTTCTTAAAAATGACTGTGTCCCTAAACTAAATTCTATAATAACCTGAGCCTACTAAACTCTATTTTGTTCATCGAATGAATCGATGTGTTGTTTGAATTCTGTGGATGATTTATTGATGTGTTATGTTATGATAAAATCAGTTACTTAAAAACTTAGCCTATAGAGCTTATTTTTTTGCTTTTGTGCATGTAATTTTTCAGATTAGTATAAAAGATACCTTCTACTCTTCGTAGATACAACGATTAAGTTCTCAGAGAATCCAGCGATATTTGATGAATCTGTAAACATGACTTGTTCATCACATGGGCTTCCGGCACCAAGATACGTGATATACTATAACGATAGTAGAGTCGTCGCAAGTAATATGACGTACACCATATCTCGAGTAAACTGGACTCATGCAGGAACCTACAAATGCGTTGCAAATAATGCTTTGAAAAATGATTCTGCTTCCTCATATTTAAATGGTAAGTATAATTTATTTTCTATTTTCTATAGACCAATTGCGAAACTTAGTAACCGCGCCTTCGCATAACATGGAAGCGAGGCTTATTATGCAAAAAACAATATTTGTATTTTTTGCCGTACAAAGCTATCCGCCGAGTTATATCCCGGCTTTCGCCTTTGGTTTACATATTTTTCGATACCTTTAAAGCTCGGTTTCATCGTTGTTATCATAGTTTTAAGGTGAGGGAGTTTTGCCTTTCATTTGAGGCGTTTTTGTGATGTTTTCATTAATTTTTTCGGCTGCTTTCGTCGGGGAAATATGGAAAAGACCGACACAAACTCAGGTAAAAATTCACTTTTTTCCAAACTTTTTCGTCTCAAGTCTTGAAAATTTATTTCATTTTTCTTCCTCTTATTTGTGCAAAATTTGGCGATATATATATTTGGTGCAAAATCTATGTTTTTGTGACAAGGATTATTGAAAAGTCACGGTCGAACAACCAACATGTTTACATTTCTCATTTAAAATTATTTTACACCAATTTTATCGATCGATAAGCTGTAATTTCACAGCAATTTTACAGCTCAGGAAAAAATTAGCAGAACTCTGTTGACAGAAACAATCGGAGATAAAAAAAAACCGGAGTTTTTTGGTTTATTTTCCCTGTGTATATAGACTACAATACATGTGACGTGATGCCGACTGAAAAGCAAAACAACTCTTCAACTTGGCACACATGCATGACATGGATAGTAGAATACTTATTACCAAGACATAATATCATTCTCTATTTTGAATTACCATTTAATATTTCTTTTCCCACAATATCATACTATAAAGGTAGCCACAATGCGAGCAGCAGCGTTTTTTAAGATATGCCTTTACATGATGGCAAAGCCGAAGGCGAAAAAAATATACAACCCCGAAGTTCGGAAGTGTTTTCCGTTTTATAATGCGATGGTGAACGGAATCCTTTCCTTTTAAAGTATTCCTGGTTAATCCTTATTTAAAACATCTATTGCATGGTAGTAGATAGTGTTTAGTGATAGTGTTTTGTAGTGACACAAAATATACAGAACGTCAGATGCGTTCGAATTCGACTTTTAAATAAAATTCGGCCTTCATGTCGGTATGCAAGCCATGCATCGTCTGTACTTTTTTAAAGCGAAATAAACAAAAACATTTCAGTTGGTTACTTTTTGCCATTTTCACAGTATTACTCTGGTATAAAGATAAAAAATATAGTGATATTTGTGAATAAATTTGAACCATTTCAGTCATTAGGTGTGAAATTATAAACTGTCACTTTTCATTTAGTTTTCAACAATTTTTGTCACAAAAACATAGATTTTGCACCAAATATATATCGCCAAATTTTGCACAAATAAGAGGAAGAAAAATGAAATAAATTTTCAAGACTTGAGACGAAAAAGTTTGGAAAAAACTGAATTTTTACCTGAGTTTGTGTCGGTCTTTTCCATATTTCCCCGACGAAAGCAGCCGAAAAAATTAATGAAAACATCACAAAAACGCCTCAAATGAAAGGCAAAACTCCCTCACCTTAAAACTATGATAACAACGATGAAACCGAGCTTTAAAGGTATCGAAAAATATGTAAACCAAAGGCGAAAACCGGGATATAACTCGGCGGATAGCTTTGTACGGCAAAAAATACAAATATTGTTTTTTGCATAATAAGCCTCGCTTCCATGTTATGCGAAGGCGCGGTTACTAAGTTTCGCAATTGGTCTTATCGCATTTTATCACCGGGCAAAACACATATGCATGGCAGAATAAGAATTAAAACACTGCCTGCATGCAGTCCTTGCTCTTTCTATAGAAATCGTGAATTATTTACCCTTTCCATCAAGTTCTCGTGAAACCTTCAGTCATTGAGTCCTTATAAACTTCACGGGAGAAATCTAAGTAATATAAATCGATATACTTAAGGGCTGTTTACATGAGCCCGGTTACCTGAGATTCAACGAAGCGTGAGATGATTTTGAGGTGTTAAAATAAGCAGATAACATGATTTGGCAGTCAATAATCACACAGCAATAGCATGTGCTTGTTTGGTGTCATAAAGACTTATTTCAATACCCCAAAGTCCTCTCACGCTTCGTTGAATCTCGGGTAACCGGGCTCATGTAAACAGCCCCTTAAAGTAGATCGTAATGCTCTTGTCCCGGTCAAGGGAAGCAGCTACGGTCAAATTCCCTCGATTTAAAAGAAAATCAAGCGAAAAATTTCGAATGATTCCCTAGCCGTAGCAAATGTAGATTTCACTATTAACATCCAGACGAAAGACTGCGAACGTCGAAGTTACATTCTTTAGATAGTCAATCTAATCACACCACACTGAATCCCCATGCATTCGGATGATGATTTAATTATGGTTTTACTGAAGTTGTTCAATTTATGATATGTTATAGTAACAAAACCTACAAAATCTTCAACAACAATCAAACCATCTAACACAACAACAACAGCAATACCAAGCTCGAGCATTCAAAACGGAACAAACGGTGAGCTTTTCCCTTGAGAAGATATAAAATGTACTGCAGTACACACGGGAATGGCAATTTTTGACAAATTGAAAAATCTCATTATTTGTGGCTTTAGCCCAATCGCGCGCGAACTATTCACTGTCATACCGACAAAAACGACAAGGATGTTATCCAGTCCGGAGTTATCGATGAGCTCGAAGGGCCTCCTAGCTCATGGTACCTCTCTGGTACCGAGCTACAATATATGAATAGCTTTGCTGCACAATACCACAACAGAATCCTGCATGACTAATGAGAAATAATCGGTATAAAATGCAACGGGAATGTGTCATTTTGTCAATTTTCGTTGTTGCCGTGTTTTTTGTATATCAAAAGTACTCAGACTCATAATAATATCTCAATACATATATTGTTAACTTTCGACACTATGTACAATAAAAAGATAAAAAGGTAAAAGGTAAGGCGATTAAAAGTACTAGTTTCGTCCTTCGGACCTTTTCAACAAATCGCCATATAGTAAATAAATGTTAAAAACGTTAAAAACTTAATGTAATACAAATATATTATCCATCTACTGTTGAAACTTCATGTAGGACGGGGAATTTTCACATAATTCCATTTGCTCTTAACATACTCTTTGGTCGTTTCCGACAACCTGTCTCTTAAATGTTGTAAAGCCACCTCTTTTTCGTCGTCCAAGGGCGCTGGCAACACTACTCGTTTGTTGAAGGGTAGATCTGTAGGTTTAAGCAGGCGTAGATCTAATGCTTTAGTCTCTTCATTAAATACTCTGATTTCTTCACTTTGCTCTTGCATTGTAGTGGTTTCTATGGTTTTTGGATCGATTCGTTAATTTATTAACTGCGTAATTCTCTGGGTTGTCCATCTTAGCTTCGTAAGCCTTTTTCTACTTGTGCCTCACACTTCACTAAATCTACTCGATCAAACACAGCAAATTTGTGGTAAGCTCAGCAACGTTTCCTCGTTACTAGTTATTGTTGCATTACCATAACAACGTGGACTTGACGAAAAATTTGGTGGTATTATTTGATCTGCCACAGTTATACCACAGCTACCTCTGTCATAACAACTTTTTCTTCATAGCCAAATTTCCGTTGCAGGAAATCTACTTTCCTTTTTCTGCTCTGCCACAGGGAAGTTCTACACTTGTTCTTTTCTTTCTCCTATATTATATTAAGTTTGTGAGCCACGTTCTCTCTTTCTAATACCGGTCTGTTCTCCCTTCATATCTTGGTGTTGTTGTATCTCTCTGTTCTCACAACTTTCCATGCATCATTCCGTTTCCATTTCATAACGATGTTGATAAGGGTTGTTTTCCGATTACTTGGTAGTCTCATACACAATTTGTTACATAAAGATTCAACTGCAGTTGTAGGTAACTTCTTCTTCAACAAGTCTCCAAATAAATCTGCTACATGATAAGCGTTCAAAAGTTTGGTGGTCTGTTTCATAGTGTGTCTCATGGCTGCTAGAACCCTCTCAGGATTTCCACAATGTCTAAATATATCTGTTGCTGCAGCCAAGAAAGTTTTGCTCAAACTCATAATAATATCTCATTACATATATTGTTAACTTTCGACACTATGTACAATACAAGAAAGGAGAATATGACAGTGTTATTTTTATACCAGGAACACCAAGATCTGCCCTCAATTAAACAACGATATATATAACATATATAACATGATGTAGGATTTTCAACACTTTGCTCCACAAGTCCATTGTTATCCAAGCTTTTCTCAGTGCCGCCATCTTACTTTCGACAATCTAGCGCATGCGCAGACAAATTGCAGTTACGTTACCTTGGCCGGCATTGATGTGTTATAAAATAGCTCGCATGATAACGACTTGAAAATTCTATATCGTTTACCTTCCCTCGAAAATGCACAGTGAGCTCCATAATAATGCTGGTATTAATTCTAGGAACCTCGCCTGATGATGATGATAGTGATAAAACAATTGTGATCATTGTGGTAGTAACTTGTTGTGGAGTAACGATCATAGTGATTGTTGGTGGTCGGGTGATTTACATTAAATGCAATGGAAGTAAGTTGTTCTATTTGTTAAGCTATATATTATATAGACTGTAGTTATAATTCTACCATTTGAATAAATAATTAACATCCAACGGGAAAAGACAGCTTGGTAAAAAAAACCTCACAACTCGGTAATATAGCCACTGAAAAAGAAATAATGAAGAACCTGAAACTTACCATTTTATTAAGGGAAATATATATTAATATATAGATACAATTTAAAAATTATACTTCTCATGCATACAAAATTATAAAGTACGAAATACTGCGAAAAGTGTTTAAATATTTAAAATACTTTAAAGTACGGAAAATATAGCCATACATGCGAAGTAAGGAAATTAATACGTGATATTTTGCGGCCAAACTTAACGATTATACTAATTTCGGTATGCTCTTTTTAAAAAGCTGTGGTGATTTATTTCTTTCTTGTTACCTAGATTATAAGTTGGTCTGTTATGCAAAAGGTCCATTGTGGATGAGTTATTGATATATCTTACACATCTTATATTTTAAATTATTTCCATTCAATTTGATTGCATTTTATGTCAGATATGCCGGGTGCCGTCTATGTCTATTGGTTGCCTAAAACTTTTGCACAGTACCGTGCTCCATTTTGTGGACTAAATTCTGTATCTATTTGCTTTTCATTTTTACGCTTAGTTGCCGTACAGTTGTATCTCGTCCATGCATGAACTTTCTACTTTTTTCATGCATGTATAGTATCACGTAAACAGCTCACTGACGATATGAGAGTTGTATGTAGTGGATATAATCTGTGAAATTATCGCACAAGTTATACCCGACACGTTTGAAATGTTTGCTCGATATTTAACATATCTTTTGATATACATTTATTTACTAATGTATTTACGTCCTAATATTTATCTCGATGGTTAATGTTTGCGTACCAATCTTATGTTATACCGCTCGTATGTAAAAACTCATTCCTCTATGTTTGCAATGTTTTCACAATTATTTTTTTTTTATTTTTAGGTGGCAACGAATGGTAGGCATTTTTTTAATTTTAAAAGCTTTGAACACGTTTTTAAACAGAAAGAATTCGTAGTCGACATTTTATCGCACTCAACCCGAGGTCTTGCGCGCATCCAATGAACCACGAACTGGAAGTATATTAAGATTTTGGCTTTGGCAATTTATAAAGCTTTCTTTGTTTCATGCAGTTATTCTCACCATTGTACCCGTAAGTGTTCACTGTTTTTATAATGTCTGTGTTCCATTTTAGTGATGTGAATCCAAATGGCTCAAAAGTGATCACAAACCACTATGAACTGGAGGAAGATCAGTTGGAAGGAGGTGGAAACACATACGATACGGCAAAACCACCCGATAAGGGTGAAGGGTCGCAGAACAATGCAGAACAGAAGCTGCCCGGAGACTCTCTCCCCCCCGTCTATGCCTCTGTGGATAGAGAAAACAGACAAGGCAACACGGTATGTGAAGGGGGAAACGTCAATCGCGAAAAAGATGGCCATGTGCTTTCTGCCAGTATGCATGACCAGAAAAAAATGATTCAAAATTTCACCGAATCATATAATATTATGTCGTCACAGTTTCCGATCACCCGCCCGAAGAAAACAATAGAAAAGGACTGGAACTAATCTTAGTCCTCGATTCCGCTTCAAATTGTCTCCGAAGAAGGTGGCCAAATAACCCTCAGTTCCAGGCTCAATAGAATTAATACGTCGAGTATATATATATCTTCTTCCTTTTCGTGATAGTCTGATTGATAAACACGCTATAGTCGATAGACTGGGTAATGTAGGGTAATACACACTATAGGGTAATCTAGTTTAGTTTACTACTGGCAGATATGACTGGGAGGTGCTAAACAGAGGGCGTCATAAAATTTGTTGTAAAGATTGATCGATAATCACAGTTAATACAGTAACTATAATGCACAATTATCCCTTGTAAAGGTTTTGGTCAAAAAATATGGGATTGGCATGACAAGCAGCATGAATTTATAGATATAACAGAATTATTGATCAGCGAGGTGATCTTTTAACTATGAGTATAAATAATATCATCACCTTCCTAATTCTCGGACAACCAGTTTTGCCTTTTCTCAAGAGCGTCCTATTTTTCAGTTGTATGCATCTCTGGACTCTGAGGCGCTGAAAAGACCGTCACAGAAGAAACCAGCGGAAAACCAACCTAAAATTGCACCAACTGAGTATGCCAGCATCGATTTCATGAAGACCGCGAAGACACCGAATGATGACAGTGTTTCAACCTAAATGTGGATAGCGAGGTACTAGTAGGGATGTTGCGGGGTAAATTTAGTAGTCTCCATTTAGTCGTACCTGTCTTAGATATTTATCTCGACGGTTTGCATTCCCTTATCACGTCTTTTTACATGGGTTATCTGCAACGCTCAATATGAGCATTTTGATTTTGGACTAACCAGATTCTGTACTTCATTAAATTCTTTGATAGATTGTTACCTTGAGAATTGCAATTTGTCATAACATTCAAGTCGATTGATTTGAACTTTTATTTTGCAAGAAAGAATATTTGAGTGAGATCTTAAATACGACTGAATAGATCTTTAATGATTAGTCTAGTTTGAAGTTATCGATTACCGATCACACATTGAGTGCATGAACATAGATTGTGTAGTTTTTGATTAAACATTTTGTAGTTTTCCACGGTGGGGAGTCTCACCGTTGTATGCACGTTACTGTAGTGAGCATATATATAGAGAGAGAGAGAGAGTAGGTTGTAAGACAACATATTCAAGGGAATATTAACTTGGGTATAATATATACGCGTAGTTAAACTGCAGAAAATCGAAATCATTTATCAGTAGAAAAATTTTCATATCTTGTGTGAGATTTTCAATGATGTTTCTGCAACGTGTTGGCCAAGCCAACAGCTTTCTTTTTCATAGTCACAAGAGACACTAAACTAAACGTTTTTAAATGCAATCCCAAATGTTTCACAATAGACACTAAACTGCATGTCCTTATATAGAATGAAATTCTAAATGCTTCACCATGCACACTAGACTGGATCTCGTTAAAATGAAATCCGGAATATTTCACAATTGATACTAAACTGAATGTTTTTGCAATGAAATCTCAAACGCGTTTGTCATAGTTCAACCATCAATTGAACCAAAAGTCTAATAGCCACTGAGAGTTTTCTGCGAGGGCTTTTGTTCCGCAGCAAATATCTTCAAGTTAAAACGCTTGGAAGTAACTCAATGTTTCATTATTGTTTAATTAGTGCTCCATCGTTTAAAAACAGCGGGAAAATAACGATAAGCATATCTTGTTTGGCACACTTTTAAGGGGGAAAGAATAGTGCATGATAATTGTTAACTGTAATGTTTGTAGACGTTTTCCCAAAATCTTTTCAATTAAAAAATTGGTTAAGAAAAAGGTTTGATTGATGACATTGATTTTCTAATGGTGAAATCAATGGTGTTACCTGCATGCAATCTGATTGGCCTCAGCAGAATTATTTCCAAATCCAAGATTTTTCTGACCACAGAATATAAACACGCCTTAATGCTTGCAAATATGCCAGTAATATTGCTCAAAAATTTTGGTAAAGATTAGACTGAAAATAATGAAAATGATATTCTCATTATACATTTCCCTCGATACCACATAAGTATGTAAACACACGCAGTATAGTCTACTTTCTTAAAGATCGTAGCATTTTGGTAACATGAAAAACAGAGTATATATATACATATATGAACGTTTTTCTGTTGGGTCTATATATGTGTATTTGTAATTTGTATTGAATAGCTATAGTTTTGGTATAAACGTAATTAGATAGAGTCATAATGTCACGCCATAGGTTGTGATTTATGTATCGACGACTGCTTACTAACGTTTTTGCCTTTCCCGACTTTGACCAATTTATGTTCCCTGCATGGTTCACACGGGATCCACCATGGTCCATGCTTGTCCTAATGAATGGTTAACATGCATGCACTGTAACAGTTTCTGTAGTGGAGTAAAAATTTTCCATGGAAACTAAAGCAGTGAGAGTTATTAAACATTATCAGCAACGTGCTGCTTGATATAACGGCACCTTGGTTTTTTGAAACAAGGGATGAAGTCAATTTTTTATCATTGCTAAAAACGCTTGCTTGCGCCGGTGAAAGCATGTTCATTTTAACCAGATTTGAAAACATATGGCGGAAAATGTTAGTAAGTTCTCGAATATATTTTAGATTAAAGAAATGCATGCAACATATAATAATGTATAATTATAACGTAGAAATGAAGTGCATCATATATCTTTGCACAATATAGCTATATACTATATATTGTATACCACGTGCAGCATAATATGTAAAATCACGGTTGTATATTGATTAATTACATTGATTAAAAAATAATCCTGGAGACAATAATTTTTTCGGGAATGCCGGCCATGATGGAAAAGTACTCGCCAGAATTAGAATTTCATGCAATGTCGAAAGTCGGTATATCATTGAACGGTTTTCCCCGATCTTTATAAGTGTGCATACAGTTTGCGCAAAGGTCTGTGCAAAACGAGCATGGATAAAAGATGCATGCAAATTTTATAAAAAACACATTATGCAAGGTCTCCGAAAATGAGCATCCATGCATAAAGATTGCGCGTGCAAAATTCAGTTTGCAATAATTGCGCATACAGGCAGACTTTGCAAAGATCTGTGAATGTGCAAAGTGAGCATTTATAGAAAATTGCATAGACATTGTGCCAAGTTCCGCCAGAATGAGCATCAATAAAGTCGTGCAAGCAAAATTCTACGCAAAAGTGTACATACCGCTATGCATACATGCCAAGACTGTACTAAAATAAGCGCCAATACATTGCGCATGCAAAATTTTGCAAAAGTCCGCAAGGCAGCACGAAATGTGCACAGAGGTCTGTTCCAAACTGTCGCATATAAATATAGACCACGGGAAGTCTGTGCAAAGCTAAGCCGTGAAAGCTCTTATTAAGTTTGCAAAGGTCTGCTCAAAGTCAAGAATCTTCCCTTTGTCTGCATTGAAATCGTGCATGATGCAACATGCACGATTTCGCTTTTCCATCACATTTTTCAAGCCGTGCATTCAGTTGTGATAATTTACAGATCACTCGTGAACAATTCATCTATTCTAGTGTTAATATCGCTGCAAAATAGATCACAGATTTTGCTAAGCTTATGGAAATCGAGAGACACAAAAATGTGGTGCCCCCCTGAAGGATTCCTTATGAGGGAAAATTTTCCCTATTTGTGTTCTAAAAAATGAACCTTTTACATAATTAAACAACGTGAAAACTGACGTTTGACAAAGACCGATACCAGTCTCAAATGGACACCACCGTAACGGAGGATTTTACCGATAATCCTTGTTCGCGACCAGATTATGGGTCAAAATTCCGGATGCATAAGAGGTGACCTTGTCCTTGGTCTGTAGAGATGAAAATTTTCAAAGACGTCAAACAATGAGGAATTTGCCTTCAAAACAGTGTGGAATATCCTGTTTTTATGTGACGGACAAACGACGATAGGTGAATATTCAAAAAAGCGTTACCTGCAGCGTTTAAAAGTGGCTATAAACACAGTTTTCATGCTGACAGCGTTTTAATGTAAAACTAAAACGATTATACCCTAGAGCCGCTTTTAAATAACGTCGCGCAAGCGAATGACAACAGCTTTGAGATGATAAGAGAATGTTCTGTAGAATTCATGGACCAGAAATTCTGAAGTCGATAGGTCTCTGTATTTCAGGTAAGTCTGAAGATTGGAAATACACAACTGTTTAAAACGTGAGGATTTTTTCAAAAAAATAACGCTTTTTTCCCTCGTACGTGTAAGCGCGTTAGTTATGACTTTTGGCCATCGGTTGTGACAACGTCAACAACATTAAAATTCGCCGGGTGATGACCTTCGAACTTGTGTTCTTTGATTGCTGTTTTATTATTTCGTCAAAAACTCCTCGTGCAAGATTTCCTTCCAATTACCCGCAATTCTATCTCTAAGTGATAATGCGCCTTTGTACATTTTGGAAACATTATATTCATTACAATTTGTCGACGATAAATTCTCTGGCTCTGCAAATCGATAACAGCCTTGAAATATATCATCTGGTTTTGAAGAGCAATGCTTGAAAAACTGCGTATTAGGTGTTGCACAAGCTGTACAATGCAACCGTAACTTAATTTAATGTTTCACTCAAAGCGATACAGTTTTCAGTTCAAAACCACGAGCATAATGAAGGTTCAAAAGTTCCTTAAATCGTGAGGTGCTTTTAAACCACTGGCACTGTGATTCCGCTAGAAACCTCGCTGTCTTTGCGCTATTGTGTCTGGCACTTCAAAACTCTTCGATTGAGGTCAAGTAGCTCATCTTTAGGTAAAAGTTTCACCCGCTTTTCTAAATTTACATTCAATTGTACGTTCTGCGTTGCTGTTCGCTTTTAAACTTTGTAAAATATAACTTCTGTTAATCCAGAAAAGATTCTTAAAAAACGAAGTAAAATCCCAACAGATTGATAGGGGAAAGGGTAATGAATTATGCTGCTTTTCAACAAGTCGTTTATCTCAAGTTAATCCTGCAGGCTACAGTCGCTTTGAGGAACGAAATAACAGTAAATACTGTACAAAAACAACAATGGCGCAAAATCATACATGTTTTCCCACGAGGTGATTGGGTTCATGTTATTGCTCAGAACTTCGCCTCACAGCTCGCGATACAATGATTGAAAATTTGACCTAATTGGCACTTGCTGTTTGTGTTGCTGATTGCGTTTCTTTCGAGTGTGTCGTATCGAGTTATTAATTGTTGAAAACAAAAGATGGATATCAAAACGCACAGTTTCCCTGCTAATGCATAATGACATGCAACAGTGTTCTAGACTATTCTACAAGGGTATTAAGTTTGGCTTAACAGTTGCGGTTCGAGGCATTCGTTGCTCGTCTATATCTGTGCTGTATATCTCGTTAATGTAGCCATTGCTGACGAATCCCACGTCTCAATTAAGGTGGGTTATGTAACGATATTTTCCATAGTGATTAATTAAGTGTAACAAAAGTTGCCCTATATCGTATATTGGAGATTATAATTTGACCACCGCCTCGTCGGTGCGATATATAAATAAAGAGATAAATAAATGGACCAGAACGCAGAATATGAAAGAGTGAAAGTTAGTCCTATCAATATAGCTCACTACATGACCTGAAGTGATATTTAACAACGCGTGCGATAAATTTTCATTCTAACTAAAATTGTTGGGATATTTTTCAAATTACTAAATGATGGTGCATTAACTCATCTAGTCTGTAATATTCCACGTAATTCCGTGTAAGTTCCGTTCAAAAGGTTATACTTGACTGTGCTGTGCTGTGCTGTACGAACTCAAAAACATCGAGCGTCTTTGCCAAAATTGCGTCCGGCGTGTGTGGGCCTTTAGAACTTTAATTGTGCTGAAAATCGTTGTAAGGGGGCGCCGTTGTTTCTTTTCATGTCGACTGTGCGACCTTTAGCAGATCAGTGGAGCACGTGTTGGAACGCCCATCATTCAATGTCGACTTGATAGAGTCAAAGACAATTTGGTAAAGAGGAAAGACTACTAGCAATGCGAGGGGCTGCCCCATAATCTTCAATTTTTCTCCCTGATCTCTCACATTGCTGAATGTTCGGGCTGTTCATATTCAGTCAAACCAACTCCTGCGCATCTATGAGGGACAGGGGGGGGAGAGAAAAGCCCAAGCGACTGTGTCGGGAGAACCCGTACAATATTCCCTGCAGGTATGACTGAGGTATGCCGGACCACACGACTTTCAGAATCGCATTAAAGGACACTAATCACAATATTCACATATCACATCACTACAGCAAGCGAGTCGAAGCATGCGTTGATTATTATAGTCAAACACTGCACCGAAAAGTGCGAATGAGGATAAAAAGATGGCATAATTAAGTAAATATGCATACTTTGTTTACTATGCTTTAACTCAAAACTTTGGCAGAAGTGAGATCTTTTGTTCTGGATTCTGAATGTTATCTTTTGAGGTTAAATTTCCTTCTACTGATGGTTATCTTGACATAGCGAAAAGTAGTCTTATCACCAGGTAATGCCGCTTGTACGTCAGAGCAGGGTCAGAGCATACCATTTGCGTGTTCCTGATTACTGCGCTACGAACCGCGCTAATCTGTTATAGTGTAATATCACGAGTTTGCGATGTGTAATTTTACCTCAGTGTAATATGGGTGATAATTTCACAGTTTAGAACTTCTAGTGAAGGTGAAAGCAGAATAAAGTGACGCAGCTTTTTCACGGAGTCACAGACATGGCTTCAGTTTCCATAGACGATTTATTGGAAGGTCTTTCAGCCGAGGAGTTGAAAGAATTGTCCGGAGACATTGACCCATCTCAGGTAAGGATATATTATTAGATCTAGAAAATCGATATGCTGGACTCGCCCGCCCCAGAAAGCAAGCAGAACATATTAGATCAAAATCTACATTTCGTCACAGAGAACTAAATTAGCAAATAAAGTTTTCCTCAAACCTATACCGTTCCTTGTGCTGTTCATAACCGCTTGATAAGAAAAGAGCTACTGGGAGAATACTTTTTGGTTGGATTTGAGGTCATGAGTTTCACAGCTTTAGGTATCCTAAACGTTAGTAAAACATGTAATGTCACATTCTGGAAACCAGTTAAATGACTCCACTGATCAGTAGAGATAAGCCTAAGACCGTCCACTGTTTAGTATAAACACACCATGGCAACTCCTGATAGCTTATCTCATGATTCTCATCCCTTCATGTTCAGCAAGGTCAATCTTCAGATGTTTCCAAGACCACCATCAGCTACTTCGATCGACCGAGAGCGGCCAAGAACAGATATGACATCAAATCCATGATATGCACCATGGAGAAGAAATCTCAAGATTCCATAGTCGGGGACAACTATCTGCCTCGCAAATACAGGGAATGGAAGAAGACGGGAAAGACAAAGGCGAAGCGGGAGAAGGAAGTTAAAAAAGAAGAAGAAGTGAAACTCCCGGATGAACTTGAGGCGATGATGAAAGATATGGACGATGAGGATATCAGTGAGATTGCAGGTGAGAGATGTGTTATTTTATTGCTAATTCTAATGGCTTTTAAGCTTGATATCAAATGTACACACGTAAGAATGGTTCAATATCCTGTCAACAAGGTTTCTTCGGCGATGTTGTAGCAATTATGTTGTCGTAACTTGTGTCATTCGACACATTTAACCGTAATAACCGTTAGTTAACCGTTATTTATAGTTAGTGAAAAGATTGGGGAATCAGAATTTTGGAGTTAAGCTACGATTTACCCACCTAAAACGTAACTAAGAGTTTTATACAAAATTACAGATGCATCCATACATCCAGTATCATCCACAAGTTTTAAAATTACCGTTGATGATAAACAAAACATCGTTAGCAAGCTTGCTAAGTTGTGTTTATTTTTACAATTTACTACATGCTGGGAACCTGGGCTTAAGACTGAAACTTCTCGAAGGTCTTTCTCATGCAAAATCAGTTGCCATGTAAGCCATCAGCATGTTTTCAGCTCCGAGGAGTTTGACAAACTTTGGCATTTCTACTTCAGCCGTGCTTGGCCTACACAGTCTTTTGACGCAACAGCAAAGTTTCAAAGTAGAAAGCGAAAAACTGGGGGAAGCTATCAAGAAATTTGGCCTCCGAAAACCAGGTGAGGGGAAGTAGAAAAGTGTATAGTTCAGCCGGTTCAGCACAACACTAGAAAATCGCACAGCTTACTTACAGACAAGCTTGCATGTATGAGTCAGTTTAACCAACAGCAAAGGCTCTAAAGTGGGAGGATGGAAACTGCATGTATGCATGGGAGAATCCATCAAGAAATTTGGCTTTTGAAAAGCGAATGCATGAGAATAGGAAGACAATGAGTGCAGCAAAGCACTAGAATACCGCACAAATTGCAGACAAGCTTAAGGTCTGTTCACACGATCCAATTTTGTTGGATCCAATTCACTTCTGATGGATGTTTTATAGTCTGTTGTCTTGTGATGTATATGAGCAACAAATCCACTGAAGCCAATGCACTATTGCTTCATCAATAACCGACTATATTCCATACGTCAGAAGTGAATTTTCCTTTCAAAACTAGTCGGGGAAAGTAAGACACCATGGTGTACAAGGCATTAGTACAAGTACGATACTTAGTGTACTGCAGGTACTTTTGCAAATAGTCATTTTTATTCTCGACGACATTTAACTGTGATTTGATTTCTTGTAGGCGTCGTTGAAGGGAAGAGGCCGAAATCAATGCCGGACATGTTGCAGACACCAGACACCGTGCAGATATCAGAGATCCTCAAAAGATTGAAGAAGACTGACCCAACTTTGACTGAAATTGCGATGAACAACTACAAGGATGTTGAGAGTGTGCTGATTGATATTGCAAGATTTCTTAGGAAGAATACTCATGTCAAGAAACTGTCCGTTGCAAATACGCAAATGAAACCCGCAGTTTGTCTGGTGAGTCGACATTCTACTACGAATAACAATCAAGTTGTGATGCACTGTGGATTGCAACGTCCGAAGTTATTTTATTCCTATAGCCATCTAATGCATGATAATATGGAAACCTGCTATACATTCCGTATCATTTTGCATTGATGTGACTGAAATCAGGTCTCAGAGCTTCGTTCTCAATTCGTATATGATATTCTCAGTATCAGTTTTCCTGACTGTTCAAATCCGGCACACAAACACGTTTTAAATCTCACTTGCAGCAACAAACATGCAGCCACATGCGTATGTAACTCATGATCTAGCTGATGAAAATATTTATGAAAATGCATTATGCATTAAGGCTACGTTCACGAAGGCCGGACGTATTTGGTACTGTGCTTGAATTCGTCCTGTTTCCTTATGTAAATACGTATTCCCTATGCAAAAGTTCATCCATTTTTACCGTGTAAACACCTGGCTGAATGAATTCTATAGCACGGTCCCAAATACGTCCGCGCGGTCCCGCGTGCATGAACGTGTATCCTAAGTATAATAATTTCCCATGCAGCATTTCATAGAAACAATGAAAGTGAACAAAACACTGGAAACTATCAACATGGAATCAAATTATTTAACAGGCGATGTCATTGCGGTAAGCTGTAAATAATTTCAAGATGAATGATTCCCATTCTAAATCCTAAGTAATCCCATTGGGGAAGAATTAACGCGACTTTTTAATCTACGTCCCATGAAATGTGATACACGACCTGAAGGTAAACTAATGACTAAGCAACCAGCAAAGTCGTTAGGTCTGAGCTAGGATCTTTAAAGGCTAATTTCCACTCAGGAAAAATCTCTTTTGGATCGGAACGGACAGGAAAATTTCCTTTGTCGGCGAGTTCTCAGGCGGCGTGTATACAAAAGAAACATTCCTGTCCTGTCCTGTTCAAGTTACAAAATGGTTCTTTCTTTGTCGTTGTGCTAAAATTATTACGTGTTGGTTTTGATCTAGGTCATGCATGTTTAGTGCATGCTTGTAATCTATACTCATCGTTATCTTTCAATATCGTGCATGGATCGTAAATTAAATTTTAAGTGGCTAAAGATTCATCGTATTATTTTCTAAATCAGAAGTTGATGCGTGTTTTAGAAGAAAATACAACACTTAAAGAACTGAGGCTTGCAAATCAGGCAAGTAATTTTGATGCATGCATGCATCAAGAAACCGATTTTTTTTGTAAACCATGCATAGCATATCAATAGATGCTAAATGAAAATCCCTGCCACTTTCCCCTGTTGTGTGATTGTGTTTATTATCGTTACTGTAGCATTAACAGCACAATAAGGTTTGCGTTAGTACAGCCTGGGTGAGATTGCTTATTTTGATTCTTTATATATGTAGGCTTGCACAAGTGGTTCGAAAGCCGAGCAAGCAATCGCAAAATCTCTCGACGCAAATCACGCTTTGAAGAGGTTTGGTTATTTCTTCGAAACCAGAGGTCCTATGATGTCTGTTGCAAAATCTCTTCTCAGAAATAACGACGAAGGTTCGTATAACATTCTAGGAAGGTAGCACGTTGTTGAAAAATGTCGGCTATCCAAAGGTTAATGAAATTATAGTTGATATTTCAGTGAGGAATGCTATATGAAGAACGAGATACATGCATAAATCATAATTTGAATTAGGAGAAAAATCCTTCTGCTTTTTAGGGTTAGCTAGTGACAAGTTAATTTAAACTCTTATTATAGTTAAACTCTATATTATATACGTTCAATAACATTCTAAAACCTCGAAGATATTATAGTTAGCTGTCAAATTAATAAGAAACACTTTTTCAACAGTTCTTGATTGACAGAATAGGCAAGTTTGCAATTGAATCTTTCTATCTATACGTCAATTTATTGTTCGTGGGCTTTTACATGCATGAAGCTATATTTTTTCTATTTTCCAAATCTGTCGTAATCATGGAACATCTATACAAGAAGATTAATAATCAATTCACTCGAAATGAGTTAGTAACTAACATATGACTGTTTTCTTTCTCGTTACATCCGTTTGTTTAGCGAGACAAAAAAGACGAAGCTACCACGAACTGGCAAATATGTAAGAAATTATCACTGACATTGGACCGAATTAGCGACAGAACTGCGGATTTTACGATGGAATTACTGGACGGTTTTGTTGTTGCATGTATGGAAGAGTGAGCTCAAGATTCATCAGTGAGTTGATGCGTCAAATCAAGTAATACCTGTTTTTCTCCACAGGGATAGAAATTATAGACTCCTTTTGGGAAACAAATTCACAGCTGTATGTAAACATCTCAAAACTGGGCTCCTGGCACTTGAGGCTGCTTTAATTAACGTCACGTCCGCGTCGTAGATTTGATGCATCTTAAACTCGCTTTGAGCTAGACATAAAACCAAGTTTCACGGCAAAGTTTCACCACAAGAATAGGAATTGTATCGTATCTAAACTTAGGGACGGAGTAAAATGGATTCTCCTTGACGGGTCTGCATCGTAGATTTGATGAATCGTTAACGCTCCTTGATATTTTCATGTTGGATAACAATTAATGCAAAAATATTCATTGAGAAAAGAAGATTCATAGTCTTCACTGATGAGTCTTGGAAAAAATAGATCAATGCATGTAAAGAAATAAGAATCTGTAAATATACATAATTCTGAGTGAGGGAAAGTCGAGGCACGTCTTAATATACAAAGCTAAATATGTAAATTTGTAATGAAATAATCATATTTTCCATGTATATATATAGTGTTGCCACACTGGAATATATATTTTGTCTATCGCTATATATTGGATCTTTTGACATAAAGATGATTTACATAATTATAGATAATTACAATCAACTGCAATAATGAACGTTTTTGTCCGGCGTTTTGTAGTGTTCACCGCTGCATGTTGCACCTGCAATATATGACGCACTCGTCAGTCCATTGGTGCTCCAGGCATCAGTATAATGTGCACTTACGAAGGCTGCATGGCAACTTACGAAAGTTACTCAATGGATAGTAATTTTGTTATAAATTATCGTAAAAATGCTTGAGTAGCAATAAAATTGCAGTTTTGAAGCGAAAAATCCATAAGGTTGATCAGGGCCGTAGCTAGAAGCTTAATTGGGGGGGTGCATATTCATATATTCGTCTTATGCCCGAATGATTTCTTTTGTATGCTATTGTTCCTATGGTATATAAACATGAATATATGAATATACACCCCCCCAATTAAGCGGTCTAGCTACGGCCCTGAGGTTGATGTCCAGTTTAAGAATATCGCGGTTTCATCATCAAAGTTATATCGAACGACTGTCAATTATAGAGCGATTGCATGGAAACTATCAGATGGATAGCGTGAAACTAACAGGAAATATCAGGAAGGGCTATAGGGTATATACCAAGGCATAATTTTAGTTTGTATATATTATACATATAGCTTAGCCATACGCTAATTTCACATCTCATAAACTATATAATATAAGTAACTGTATAGAATATATTCACAGATCAGGTCACTTTAATATATGGTGTGAAATATTCATTAAAGTATATACTTGCGTCAGTGGATGGGCCATTTAGACTGATTGTCTCCCATGTGCGACAATGCATGAAAAGAAATATAATTATCCAGAAAACTGTTAAATGCACATGTTTCATAATTTATTGTGCCCACGTTCGGGGAAAATCGCTTTTTAAATCCACGAATTTCAGCCGTAGTTATAACGTCGCTAAAACGGTGTTCATGCAACAGATATCTTCTATATAGACTGAAAGAGAATAATCAGGAACTGGCTGTGGTAAGTCGTGTTGCATGAAACATTTTGTTAAGACGATGATTACTTTTAACATCGTGTCAAAATCTAATTCAATGTTATACATCACCTAAAACTAACTTTAATAATGAATGTAAATTATTAAAATAAACTGACATGCAGGCGTCGTCTTCAAACTTTGAAAGATTATTTCCATTCCTGTATCCGAAATGTCTTAATTCACATTTTCGACGGCGCGTGAAATATAGAGTGTTAAAAACTGTAAATCACTTATATTCCCCAAGTTAACAATACTTCTGACCGTTAGCAGGATATGGCTCGAAATAAAATGAAAATTCATTTATAAATCATGAGACTCACTGAACTCCGAGTAAAATTCTGCTTGTGCGTGCATGTACATGCCTTTCCAGTTTCCAGGGAAAAGGGAAAAAACATAACGCTGCGTGTATATATATATATAATAGCTCAACTTGTGCACGCAGTGACAGTTGTAAAACAATAAAAGTGTACATGTCAAAATGTTTATATAGCTACTATATATAAGTTCTTGATATCTGCAAGTATAAGTAACACTGAAAAAGATGACGTGAAAGTGTTTATAGCTATAAAAGTGTGTTTATAGCTGAGTAATCAACTGTACAGACAAACGACAATATATTATATATCAGTATATCGCTGACTTTCAAATATAGTTACATTAGCCAGTGAATATGCCAGTGAAAAAAAACTGTTGCAAAAGCAATAAAAAGACAGGACTTTATAGCTGCATGTATATAGTTATCGACTGTGCAGAATATTTAATATCTCTACATGCATCACAGTGCAATCATGACTTTCACAGTGGATTCTCACGAGTTTTTTTATCTTTATTTAAATCTTGTATTCTCCTCTAGAATCTTGCATAATCCTACAATCAGCATATATTCCATGCAACTATACCTCGGGACAGACTTTCATTTATTGATGATTTTAATGATAGGAGTTTTTCCTCATGTATTTGCATGTCATGCATATAGGAAGTCTTTGCCGGATGTCCCATGCATAATATATATATCTTACCGCATGCACTGATTTGTTCCCTCTTGTATGTATAATATTCTTTACTCCGTCTTGCGTAGGCATATAAGAGAGCGTGGATTATATCAGTATATCTTTGCCCTACGGCAAAGGACAATTATAATATCAGCGGTAGAACTTAGGGTTGATAAACTGATACAAAACTATATAAGGGTAAAGGGTATATCAGCCTGTTTAAAACCGCCATTATATTGTGTTTATAGTCTAGTTTCCATCAAATAGGTTAAGATAACATACATGCATGAAATCGTTTATATATATATACGAAGAGTAATGATTTGCTTTTATCAGACGTGAAAGAATATAATCAATGTCTGAATATTTAGGACCTATAAAATGGGCCATTCATTTTAAAGTACGAAACTATATCCTCCGTGTTCCTCTTATCAATCATAGCAATCGAATTCTCAACCTGCAAACAAATTAAAGTAATCTTATAGTTATATAAATTAATCTTGGCTGCTATATACGTGCATGAATATCATCTACTGATAACGGAGAAAAATAGAAAAAAAGATTTTTCAGAAAAACCGTCATGGCCATGTATATACATATTCGCAACTAGACGTAGAGCCAGCAGCTGCAGCAATTATCGATAAGGCATGATACCGAGGGTATTGTGGAAAAATAAAGCTTAATTGCTCTAGCGAATGTTTATGCAAATACTACGCGCTTTGAGAAGAAACCTATTTTACGCGCAGCAAGACTTCGCGGAGAAATATTTTGTGAACAATTGCAAATTCAATGTATATATAGAAATCGCACCAAGCGGCAATCCAGCTGTGTCGGAAAGAAAGCAAGGTTGAAATAACCAAGTCCAACTGCTGCGGATATTCTCTGATTTATTTACGAAAATAATTCGATATTTCAAATGGTTTGCTGGGATTTTCAAGCGAGGTAAGGGAGTATAGAAGCTTGCTGTATTTCCAAGCGAAATTTTAGCGTTGTTAGAGAAAACGTTGCTTTCATGGTAACACATAATTATATTATACCTGTCGTGATATGACGAGGCTGAATGTTATAACATGGAGCGACTGGTTTCACAGTTTCGAGACGTAAAAATGGAACTATAGCGGTTTTATGGACACCCGTTACATGTAACGAAATAATGAACAATGAATGTAATTATCAGGGTGTATTATTTTCTGTACATGAAAATTATTATATTTATATATATTCGTATATGTGATTGGGCAGTTTGGCCTCCCTTGATGAGCTAAACTGTATAAATCATGTTCATAAAAGTTATAGTCACTGAGCTTGCTGGCCTTATTTATGTATACGATGTTGAAACTCGGTCCCGAAATATCTGTACCTACATCACAGGGAAGAGCAACGTGTACTGATGCACATTGTTAGTGAACTTTAAAAGTTCTATCATCAGCCAATTCTAGATTTTTCATTTAATATAACCCAAGTCTAAACAAGCATGTCTTTTCCCAGTATGTTGACCGTGTGTTTTTCAAAACATATTTAGCTGAATAGGTGATTTAAATGGGATATGTTAATCGAGATTTTAACTCTCCAATTAGTGTTGCAAAATCAGTAAAATTTGCTGTTCATCGACGAATCAATGGCGCTATCAAACCGATCATTCAAAGCGGCTCAAATCTTTCTCAAAATCGGGAAGAAAAAGCGCTAAAACACTTAATCTTAAACGATTTACAAGTTGTGATAAGCAGTCAGCAAGGCTAAATTGATCGTTGATGTGAGGATATAGTCAGCGGTGCAGTCACAACTGTGTTTTAACTCGTTTATCGCGAGGCGAAAGATTTCACAAAAACCGTCCTCCATTGATCGAGGTAGCTGATTAATAAATCTGTGTTGTTGACGCGCTAAGTTCGGCACAATACTGAAACTGTGACTCAGTTGGGCATCCGATGTTTGTATTTAATAAAGGCTTGTTTTAATATATCCTAAGCCGTCAAAATTCGTTATATTCGTCGTAATTTGCAGTAATTCAGTTTCGGTATCCCAAATTATACACGTCGTAACAGCAAATGACAACGTATTATACAACATGCGAATTACGGCGAATTATTTGACGAAAACGATCTTCGAAGCATCTTTAATTACTCACTGATAAAGAGAACTAAACAGTCGGGATTTCGACGACTGTTTAAAGATGTCAAACATTTTGTACTCTTCGCCACAAACTAAAGACCTATATCCGATACTGCTTAATTTTTGTCGTATTTTATCCACAGATAATTCGGGTTAAGTATATAAGCCGATGATAAATACTTAATAGTTACACATCAACGGCGATGTGTTGAACATGTTTAGGAAAATGGTTTGAATATTGGCAGGCACCATGCAGTGTTCGGCGCTCATGTCTGAACACAGCTTCGCATCGTGGCAAATAATAGCGTTCATGTACAAAGTCTAAAGCCAGAGGACGCGATAGTTCACGCACCCCATTTTTCTCAACTGTTAATTTCTAGCTTGGACTTAAAATGTGTTTATGATTTCCAACTTGAGATGAAAACCCTTAAAGGACGTTCACCCCACCCTGATATAGGGGTCATTTTTCACTCTCGTGTCCTTTTTCCTGCATGCACCAGAGCCCGAGGCTGAAATCAAATTTTGAACGGAAACTGAGCCGGCTATACATTTGGTCAATTTAGTTAAAATAACTTTATCATGCATGCATATAATGAAAGTTTAGGTGCATGATTCCAATATCTTTACAATATCACCCAGGTTTCCAATAAACTTCGTTCAATTTCATTTAAATTTTAACCCTCATTTCCTATCGTTTGCTTTCTAATATGACGATGCTTCCAGTCGCTATAGGAACTGATTGATGATAAAATTGTATTCATTGGTATATTTCAAAATTATTTGCCCAAAACAAACATCCATTATACAGAACAACGATTCGGCATTAGAATAGATTCCTAATATCAACAGGTACTGACATGCAAATATATAGATATCACATATAATACTTGTCCACAAATATCGTGTAACGCAAATGAATGTGTGAATTTGATATGACGATTGCAGAATGCAGTATATTATATAACATGGAGCCTTTCAAAGCATCGTTAAATCAAAGAAAATAGATTGTATTTCATTACCAGGAAGGTTTGTATGCTTATTTTGTAGTACTTTCAGTAAAACAAATCTTTTAATGGCGTAATCCGTTATTGAAAACCGCAAACAATACAGACAGTTCTTGCATTCGCCTTGGTAAAAAACTTAAATACTCATGCAAGGTAATATACGCAAGTGAGCTAGTGAGATGATTTCTTTTTCAAACCTAGGCAACAAATACACCTGCTTTACTATCGAACATCCTTATTTTACCTTTTTTGCCATGGCCTGCAAATTCCCAACGGGTCGTGTTTCTCTTGTTAATTAAGAAGGCGTTGGAAACAATACGAATTACTGTGGCTTGTCCCATCGTAAACTATATACTAGTATAATTATAAAGTTTTAAAACTAGCAGAGATCTATTGAAATCGCGCCGTTCGAAATCCTGTTCGAAATCCTGATGAATTCGGGAACACAACTGACAACTTCTCGGGTTTGATGTCATTCATGTTCGTACGCAAGAGTTTTGACCAAAGGGAAGAATGGTCTTGTCGCGAAACGGGTGATTTTTAGTGGATATTGGCTATAATTTTGTGACTTCTTCGGTACAATGCCACCCTTTGTAACGTGTAAATCGATTAAAATGCGTTAACTTCAAAACGTCTTATTCTTTTCTAGGGTTTGATAAAAATCCACGCGTTTCGGCGAACCGTGGGGATAAACTGGGACGATCAGTGACACTAATGACCACAGTGGGAGTAATAGTTGTTGAAACCATCTTTCTCATTCTGATATGCGCCGGTGCATTGACTGGAAATGTTATGCTTTTTGTGCTTATTGCAAAAAACCCACCGCTTCAAACCAAAGGAAATGTATTTATCCTGAATCTAGCCTTTGCTGATTTACTGGTTGCTGTCGTCAACATGCCTGTAACCATAGTGACAGTTATAGCGGACGATTGGATCCTAGGGGAAAACGTATGTCTGGCTTCTGGATTTTTTACACTACTAACGTTCGTGGCATCGTGCATGGCATTGACTATGATTAGCGTGAATCGTTACCACGCGATATGTCATTGGACCTCTTACCACGAGAAGTACACGCATGGAAAGTGCGTGATATACATTGGCATTGTATGGGGAGTTACGATAGGACTCTCCCTGCCGCCGTTTTTTGGCTGGGCGAAATTCGCTTACGATGAAGGGCAGAGTTATTGTTTTGCTGAATGGGGCATGAGCAAGTCTTATACGTTGTTTATGATCGCTGCTTGCCTGTTTGGACCAATCAGTGTCATGTCCTATTGTTACGCAAAGATTTATAGGTTTAAAAAGCAGAGTGGCATTCGTGTTCTGGCGGCTGGGACTGCGAGCGACTCGAATTCAAACGAAATGCATACGGTAACTGGGACGTATGCTAGTGGAGAGCTGGTCTCCAACGCTTCATCTCGAAACGATCGCAAGCTCAGTCGAACGATCATGACGCTAATCGTCGTATTCGCATTGTGCTGGTCACCTTTTGCGATAATCATGATCTTGCAAGTGTTTTTCTCCGTCGATGTGCCGCGATGGGCTGACTTCATTTCGCTTGTGCTCGGCTATATGAACAGTTTTTTAAATGTTTTTGTATATAATGCTACGAACAAGGCGGTCAGGCAAGGGTATAGAAAATTATTAGGCTGTAAACCAAACAGAGTTGACATTGGCGGTTGAACGATATTGTACTTCGCGTGTGGGCCTCCACAGACTAGGGATTAAGTTATCGACAACAGTAAACAAGTCCGATAAAGGATTCCACACGGCACTGGCGTTAAAATACTGATTTAGCAACCGAAATAGCGCGGAGATTAAACAACTAAAATAAAAGTTTTTACACTAGAAAAACGCCAAAAAATGAGGCCGTTGACAACTATTAGTTGTCGACAACTACGTATAGTCTCGCAGTTCGAAAAGGGAAACTGTTTAGTTGCCGACAACTTGCGCGACAGACTACGTTTTTTAGTTGTCGATACGTTTTAGTTTTCGATCACAACTGAATAGTTGATCACAACTAAATTCCTAGTCTGTGGAGGCCCTGATTCAACAAAATGTTGTCCAACCAAAACATCAAACAAGTTATTTAAACTCTGAGCGCGTGAGAGATGATGCATTTTGTTCTCTCAGATTTGTTAACTGAAATCTGCTTTATAAGACCCACGACAAACTGAAAGGAGATGACGTCCCGCATTATAAAATCAACCGGCTTCAAATGTTATTTTCTGACCTAAATAGAGCATAAGGTATGAGGTACTATCTGATTTCTTTCACGCTCAAAGTTTAGCCGGGGCTCACTGTACCGATCGGTCAACCTTTATTGAATTAGCTGTAAAATAGAAATGGAAAAGTAGATCAATTTAAATTTATATTGCTAAATAAAAATAAACTGGAACCTTTTTTTCGGGTCACCTCGGGCGATCTCGGTGTCGGACGTAATCTATTCAAATGCCGTTTATTTTATACTATAGTAAGTAGGTCATGAATATTTCTGTGTGCTACATGCAATCTTGGGCAAACCCTTCTTCCAAGACGATTGCTCGCAATATTTCGCACGAAGTCAAAGTGTCGAAACTCGAAATACGTCAGGTCAGCGGTAAATGCATTAAAAACGAGGCAATGAAGTTTATTTGTATTGCAACGAGGAAGAAAGATTTTATCCATTCTTGTTTCTTGTCATGCAAATGATCCCATAGCCTCGTATCGAAATCAGATACCAGCTGCAGCTGTTCTGTACTATGGACGTTTAATATAACTTAGGTCTTTATCACATGACGGATGAAAAGGCGTACGCCATTCTTTGCTATCGTTAAAAGCCGGAAAGGATCGGATCTGGTATCTCGAGGGATCCGAGAGACGACGATAGCGAAAAGTAGTCTGTTGGAGAAAAAATACTTAATATAATGAGAAATCCTTAAGATAATGCGTTTAAAAAACACCGAGAGAAAGGCGGCGATAAAAAGATCCGGATATTTTAAATATGGTTATGTGATAACACCTGACCGGCGTCCGGCAACGCAAGGCGATTTTTGTGAATTTTTCAGTTCTCAAAATCAATTGTTTTATCTTTTTATAATATTCTTGACAATTACTGAAGGATAGCACATTTAATTTCCACATGTATAGGATGCATGTGCTTAAAATTTACTTCTAGAATTGAATTTATTTGCTCCTAAAAACTGATAATTCGCGACGCGTTGGCGAATCGCACCCAGTATGCGTGGGCTTAGAAAAACTGTGAAGCTCGATTATTGATAGAAAGATTAGAAAGAACAGAAAATGCTGATAAGGCATAATTTCGGCTTAAGTTAAATCTTCGTCTATAAATATAAGAAGTAATCTTTTCTAGTCTGGCTGAACACATAATAAAACCAAAAGGGAGTGCTTAATTTTAATTTAATCAAGTCTAAAAGTATAGAATATTAATTTCGCTGTGCATGAAATGCTAACATTTCCAATTACATTTCCATAATTAAGATATACCTGATAGATAAGTTATGTTGATTGGCTGGTGCGTTGAGTATGGATGACCAATGAGAGGATGCAGTAGATTTACTTTCGTATGTTTCCGTGTATTGACATTCTTTAAAATATTTTTTAATTTTGCTGTATTTTCTCGCCGAAATTTCACAGTCGAGTGACAAAATACAATAATACATCACGGGATCTCAGCATATAGCATTTATTTTAACATCGATCGAGTTTGATGTGAGAATCTCTCTAGGGCTCTGATTATTACAAAATAGCATAAATACATTCGGCATCTTTCCGACGATCACTTGACAAGATCGCTGAAGCAGCGTTTAATACGGCAAGAATGTCAGCTTTCGAGCTGGTTTCAAAACTTCTCGTTCTGGCTTTCGCCTTAGTTTCCGGTAAGTTTCGATCGTTGTTCTGTATTCTTTATAAATTTAGTTCAAAACAACATTTCCTTTACCGTGTTTTTGTACTTTGTGGCTTTATTATAGGCGAGCGTTTGAACGACTTTGTGTCTCATTTTGAACCGCTAAACTACGATAGAAATTTGTTAGAAAACCGCCATCAGAGAGTTCGTCGATCGCTAAATGAAGATAGCACACTTCATCTTGACTTTAAGGCACATGGAAGGTGAGTTTGAAAGCTAAAACGATTGAAATTTAGGTGTTAATGAAATTGCGAGGCGCTATCACATGCCAGGTATATATAATATTTAAGTCACCGGTTTTATAATATATGTCTAGATATGGCTCAAAAATAAGATCTAAATTGTGATACTGATTTTATCAGACATGTACGTGCAAGCCCGTGAAGGTCTTTGACTAGAAATCAACTCAATTGAATACGTTTCCCGTTCGTTGCCCATCCTGCGTGAGTCAACATATAATAAATATATTTTCTTTGTGTCCAATGGTGATTATGCAATTATTTTGTTTCTATTCGGGTTGCTTGGTAGCCAAAGAGCATTGTCCCTCACTTTATGTTTTGCCGAGCAGTCTAATATAAAGCAATATTTTAGTTTTACAAATACTACCGTGAAATTTTAAACAACCGTTCCATTGAAAGCGTTTCTTCAATAATATTAACTTTATATACAGCTAGAGCACGAATTAAGATAAGGCAGTTTAATAAAACCGTATCAATTTCAACTAACTTATCCAAAAGACTTTACCATACTCTATAAAGATCTGTTCACAAGATCAAATTTTGTTGAATCCAATTCACTTGTGATGGATGCCTTGTAGTGTTTTGATTCGTGAAGTATATAAGCAACAAAGCAACTGAGACTAATGCAGTACTGCTTTGTTGCTAACAGACTACATTCCATACATCAGTAATGAATTCACTGAATTGGATCCCACACAATTGCATCTTGTGAACAACCCACGACTCTAATCAATTCGGGTTTCCTAAGCTTGGTTAGAAAGATTTTAGACTTGGGAAGATGGATGAATCCAAACTGAGTTAGTTTTTTCAATGTTAATTAAACAAAACAGTTTTATCACTCCACTTAAAGAATATCCATAGACAAAGGTCTGTAAGGGCGTACATCTTGGAGCAAATACATCTATATGGAATATATATCTGTGTTAATTAGATATTATTTTATTTAAAATACTAAGAAAGGTGCATGCATGCATCAAATGTAAATGTTTAATTTTACATTCTCTGTTATTTTAGGTCATTTAAGTTAAGATTAAAAAGGGATACAACAGTATTTGCTCCAAACTTGGATGTTGATCCAGAATTTGATCCGAACAAAGTGTATAAAGGACATGCAGAAGGTATTGTATCTTTGATTCTTATCCTTTACTAAATGCAGTTAATGTTTGCTTGCTTGACCAAATTTTGCTGGGCTAAAACCTGTAACTGTATAATATTGTACTACCTATAAGTTTGTATATATATATATATATAGGTATAACATATGTATTTATATACTTGTATTTATACTGTCAACCTTGGCCTTCATCAGTCGATTGCACACTGATAAAGGCTCAGTTTAGTTTATTGAATGCATTTGACTGATCACATACTGTAGATCATGCATATGTACTTGGAATTTGTGTGAAAAAGGGTTATATGTGAAATAACAATAATAGTTATTTTATCAGTGTCACATTTTGAAATGAAATTCATAATATGTCCATTAGAAGACTAGTAATTGAAATCCACAGCCATTCAGACAACACAATGGTTCATTTTCTAAATGCAAGTGCATAACTCACAACACCTGTCATTATTATGAGGCCATTATTTATTTAGTTTAAATGTGTTCAGGAAGACAACATATTACATTTACTTTGTCATCAACATCTCATTTTCCCCCATGACACTCACAATGACAATTGGCTTATATGATGCCAGTTTTGGGTTAATATTAAGGAAATATTTTTTAATTCAATGAATTCTCTTTATAATAAATTTCCCTGTTTCTATGCAGTTATAGAAACATGCTTCTTAACATTGCAGTGCACACATAAACTTCTTTTTTTAATGTTCTTTAGGCTACGAAAACTCTTTCGTCCATGGATTTGTTCATGATGGGAAATTTGAGGGCAAGGTGAAACTATCCGACAAGTTGGAAGATGAATTTCACATTGAACCAAGCTCAGACCACTTCGACACCCAAAAGGAATTCCATTCAGTCATTTACAAAGCTGATGATCTGGAATATCCATATCCATATGGGAATGTGGATCTGAATGAAAAAACAAAAAGATGGATGGAGGAGGCTCGGCAATTGTCTGAAGATGTTCTTGAAAGCCCGAAGCAAGATGGTCGTAACCGGTATAGACGCAATACTCCTGGTCAGGTGACTAAGCTCATCTGCCAAATTCATTTGCGGGTAAGTGAATAAATTGTCACATGGCATTGTTTGCCTTCTTTCGTGTGTTTTTTGCTTTCTTGGGATGGTGGTGAACAATTTTATGCTCAGTAGCCCTTATTGAAGACTGGGTTAGTGGACCAAAAGCTCGCCATGTAGAAAAATTATGGAGTCGCGCCTTGTTGTTCATGTGCAAATCACATGAGTATAATTATTATTTTGTTGGCAATATGCCCAGTTCACTCCACTTTAATGGGTAAAACCACATGCTATTTTTAGGTTTACATTGCAATGACACAATTTGGTATAGTACCATGATAAAACCTAATAACAGGGAGGCTGGGCGTTTACGCCTCTCCTTGTCCTTGATCCTTTGTGACCAGAGTGAGCACCCTGGCTGTTCATCCTCCCTGGCCCATCCTTCTATATATGAATCCAACACTATCATGTGAATTTTTCCAGTCAGTCTTGAAGTTCTGCTTTTGTATCTGGCTTTGTATTGATAAATTATTTTTATTTGTTACTTGATGTTTCTTCTATAGGCTGATCATCTTTTCACAGAAAAAAGAGCTGGTCGCAGCAAAGAACGGGCACTCTTACTGATGACAAAACATGTCCAGGCTGTTCATGATATTTATAAGGAAACTAAGTTTAAAATTAATGGTGCTTCACAACTAGGTATGTTGCTAACAATTTGCAGATACAGTGCTGTTTTTTATGATATCTTTTTAACTTCATTGAACTTTGCATAGTTATATGTAGGTAGATTTTGCCAGTGTCGGATGTAGGGTAAGTCAGAATAAATTATACAGCCTAATTTAAAATTCAAAATACCATAATAACAGTGCTATTTGTTATTCATTTCTAAAGAACATTTTTACGTAAAGTTCTACCAATATTAAAGTTTGAGTGGCAGTAATTTATTCTGACTTACCCTGGATTTTGCAGATCTTCATGTGGGCAAAGTGTTTTTGGTTTTTGTCCACTAGATCATTGATGATTATTCCCTGTCGTCCACTACTGACTTCTGTTTTGTGGGAATATCCTGCAACATGGGGATGTCAACCCTTATCTGAGAATGTTATAGCAATTGTATCATTTCAGTTTTGAAATCTTCAAAAGAAACATGCCTTTTAAAATCACTTCTTATTCGTGCTTACACCCCGCCCGTTGTGCTAGCGAGCGGATGGCCAAACCTGTGATCTCCAAACCCTACAATACAGCACCACTTAATTCCATCACACCTTCCCCCTGAATATGAATATCAAAAATCTTGTTTATCTTCTCACATAGGATATGGGTTTGCAATAAAAAAGATGAGAGCAAATGACACTAGTGATAAAGATAAAAAGGATAATCCCTACGGTCAAGAGTACATCGGGGTGGAAAAGTTTCTGGATATTATTTCACTTGAAACAACACATAAGGATAAGCAATTCTGTTTGTCGCACGTGTTTACATACCGTGATTTTGAAGACGGTGTTCTTGGTTTAGCATGGGTGGCTGAGCCTGGTAAGCTGTTTTAAAGTTTGCTATTGTAGACATTTATTGTGTAGACTTGTTGTAAATATGTCAATTATCGTGAAATATCAAGGTAGTTTCTTCAACAAACCTTGGTGTGGTTACAAAGACTACAGTACATGAAAAATAGACACCAAACTGTAGTCTGCAAACAAACTTATAGCTATATAGTGAAAATAAGTTTCGCTTGAAAAACTAAACTAATCTTCCTCAGAAAGTGTTACAATTTTTGTTCAAACTGAATGTGTTACAACTTTCTAAATGTTGAAAATCAATTTTCCTTATACACCTTTATAAATATGTTTCTTTGCTAAAAGAAGGGGCAGCCGGTGGAATTTGTGAGACATCAAAGAAATTTCAAGGCGGTCAAATTAAGACCTTAAACACAGGAGTTGTGACATTCATTAACTACAAGAAGCAAGTGCCTTCCCGCGTTTCTGAAGTCACATTTGCTCATGAGCTGGGTCATAATTTTGGAGCAAAGGTAAGAAATAATCTGTTATAAACATGTATATAAAAATTCATTTTAGACTGGTCATTTCATTACAATATATTTAAACCCAGTACATTTTTAATTTCCGCTTCCAAAATACAGCATTTGAAGAAATTTATTATGACTTTAAAAATGTATATGCTTTTTACATATATTGTTCGTATTAAAGCACGATCCCAGTAGCTGCAGTGGTGGAAGTGGTGGAAACTACATCATGTTTCCCAAAGCTACTTCAGGGACAGAGAGCAACAACAGGAAATTTTCTGAGTGCAGCAGAGACTACATCTCGGACGTGCTTCAAAAGAAAAGTGGTTGCTTTGAAGGTAAGGAATTATGGTGAGGATCATGGTGATAAGGGTGATGAGGGTGATGTGATGGTGATGGTGATGTTGATTGATGTGATGGTGATGGTGATGGTGATGGCGATGTGATGGTGATGGTGATGGCGATGTGATGGTGATTGTGATGGTGATGTGATGGTAATGTGATGGCGATGATGATGGTGATGATGATGGTGATGGTGATGGTGATGGTGATGGTGATGGTGATGGTGATGGTGATGGTGATTGTGATGGTGATGGCGATGTGATGGTGATGGCGATGGTGATGGTGATGTGATGATGTTGATTATGGTGATGGTGATGTGACGATGTTGATGAGGTTGATGGTGGTAGTTGCACTGGTGATGGTGGTCATGATAATGATAAGTATTTTTTTATTATATGCCTCTTCTTTCCAGAGTCGGGTGCGGCAATTTGTGGTAATCAGGTAATTGAAGGAGACGAAGAATGCGACTGTGGTTTCAAGGAAGACTGTTTGGATGATGAATGCTGTTATGACGCTGACAGTGGCATTAACGAGCGCTGCAGACTGAAGACGGGTGTAAAATGCAGGTTGGATTACCAATACGTTGAGATTAGTCTAACAAAGCAATTTTTACCACCAGTCCATTGCTAGAGTTAATGTTTGGTCCGTATTACTTGTCCTGTTTTAGTCCAAGTCAAGGCCTATGTTGTAACGGAACAACTTGTGAATTTCATAATACCACATTGCTATGCGAGGAAGGCGATTGTGTTAACAATACCTATTGCAAGTATCCTTTTATTGAAGTGAACCAGCTTCCAGGCGAATGTTTTTTCCTCATGCGATTCGGGTAATCCTAAATTCGGGTTATCCCAGATTCGGGTAATCCTAGATTCGGGTAATCCCAGATTCGGGTAATCGGAGAATGGATCAACAAACTGTGGTCGAAAATACACATTTACGGTATCAGCAAGGCTGCTTCTCGTAAAAAGGTATAGCATTACTATTTTAGATTAAGTATTTAAAATTTATCCATTTACCATTTTAGATTGAGTATTTAAATTAGGCACTCTCATTGGCTTTGCTTGAAAAATGTAAACTGAAAAATGTAAACAAATATGCCGATTAGTTTTTAAGAAACGAAATTCGGTATGGTCTAAATATATCCATGCAGGTGATCCGAAAACGCGGGAAATTCAGTTAATTGTTAAACAATATCTATCGGAATATACTTTATTTCTTGGTATATTATTTATTCCTGTTTCAAATTTTTTTTAGAGATATAGTACTCATAACTAAAATTACAGATTAGCGACTAATTTCATAAAGAATAACAAAAGTTATAATCGATTACATACGTCAGAGTCAATATATTTCCTTAATTCACGAAAAAAGCGGTACGAGTGCCGTGTGCCCCAATCCTCTTCACAAGCCGGATAATGAAACAGATTGCAACGATGCAAAAGGGGTTTGCATTGATGGAGTAAGTTGTCGTTTTAAACTAAAATATATGTTTTCAACCGAGGCGTAGCTCCTCCTAATAAATAGACACTTATACGAATGATTTAAATTGTTTAAAATTCACAGGAGTGCAAAGGCTCGCGTTGCCTGAAATTCGGTAAAAAAGAGTGCCAATGCACAAAAACCGATGACCAATGCTTACTCTGTTGTAAAGATACAAATGGCGCATGCTCACCGCATAACGAAACTGGAAAATACATGGAGTTGCTCGCGGGCGCACCGTGTAACAACTTCCAGGGGTACTGCGATATTTTACACAAATGCCGGGGTGTCGACTCGGAGGGACCTCTGGAAAGGATAAAAAACCTGCTGTTTGGAGGTGGCGCGATTGACAATTTAGTAGACTGGGTCAAAGAGTATTGGTGGGCGGCCTTATTGATTGGTATTGGTTTGATCATATTCATGGCTGGTAAGTACTGTTGACGGATTTGAATGTATCTCGGTTCCACTCGTAAACATAGTTAGCCTTTTGGGTGATGCTTTTGAGAGCCACATTAATGCCTTTCCACTCCAATATACATGTGATTTTTCCAATATACATTTTAGACCTGTATGTTTCCATATAGGTTTTATCCGTGTGTGTAGCGTGGCGACCCCGAGCAGTAACCCTAACAAACCCCCAGCCAAGACGATGTCCCTTCGTCGTCGCCCTCGCGCCAATCCTGGTTATAGCAATCAAGGCGAACCACCACCCGCTTATGATATTGAAATGCAGCGGGGAGGACGGAACCAAAGACCACATCAAGGACGAAGATAGATTTGACACTTCGATTTTGAATTCTGTACAAAACTGGACTGCTGTATGACCCGTTCACAAATTCACAGCGACTACGACGTGCGAGAAAATGCATTACCCTGGGCTTTTGAGAATGAGTTTTTTTATTTAGTACTTCAAAGCATTGACAAAAACGTTCTGGTAATGGCGTCAGCAAACAGAATAAAATTTTGGCGGGAAAATCACGAAGGGTTGTTTATATTTGAAAAATGTCCACTCAGCAAAATTCAATTTGCCACTCTAGAAATTTTTAGTACGAGCTAATTCCAATGAATTCCAATCGTTTGGTGATTAGTTTAATAGTTTTGGTAGTAATTTTGACGCGTTTTGTTTTATTAATTTGTTCTCTAAACAGCAGTTCACTTTTTAACATGTTCAGTAGATTTTCAGTCTCCGTGGATTTCACGGAATTATATCATCAGAATATAAAAATGTAAAAAATCTAAAGTGTATAGCCTAATAGCAGGACTTTAATTAATATAATGCATATGGTTTGTAATTTTTAAATATTTTGATCGAACTTGCAATTTTCTAATTTCTAGAAATGTTGAACAGACTTTATATACGGTACAAATACAGAATACTTCTAACTAAGTGCATGCGTTGCATTTAATTTGCGATCTTGTATTTATTTAATACAAAGTCGATGACGTTGAGAAAATCACGATGGATCTTTTGTTCTTCTCTGTTTTAATATTCCGAGGTTGACATGCGCTATCAAAAGAGTTGTAATTAAAGCTATGAATAGAAGAAATCCCGTTTCAAAATAGCCAAGAAACAGCATGACAGCGCCTTCGAATAATCTCTTATCAAACGTGGTATAACAGTTTCCAAAAATAGACAAATTATCTTTATCATACCGGCAAAGGCACTCAGGTCGAGTCGAGCCGGGTCGAAACGTCGAGAACATACCAATTGTCCTGACAACGTCAAAGGCCTAAAGGCCCTAAACATCGAGAGTCTATTTAAGGCAGGTGTATACCGCATTTTACGAGGAATTAATATTAAAGATTAAATATTTGTCTTTGCATTCTCGCATAGACTTGGCACACACGGTAAATGGTAACAATGGCAACACCTGTTGTTAGTGCTATCTGAAATACCAAAGTGCAGGTTACTGAAGAAATTTCGATAAACTTTAGCTATTTAAAGATTCTTAAATATTCTATTATTTCCCCGTAGAAAAGCATTGAAACCTTTCGCAAGAAGTTCCTTCCTCTTATCTTAATATACTTCCTTCCACTTATCTTAATATACATACTTCCACTCCATGGAAACTCGCAAAGTGCAGAATCACGGAGGTGATCTTCTAGAATATATTCGGGCAGCTCTCGGAAGCTTTCGTCCAATTGGATAATGCTTTTCTATGTTTTCAAAAGAAGGAAGCTATGCTATTTGTTGAAACAGAAATGTATTGTAAAGTTCAGCCAATGAAAATCAGTCTTATATATTCCAGAATATACTATGGACCGAGCATATGACCCCGCATTTAACGCGTGTTTTGTGGGCTAACCTTTGATTACGTTATCGTGAGTGTTGGGCGCATTTTTTAAGATTACGACGTCATGAGTGTTTTTTGTATGATTCAAGACGCGTTCAGTACATCACGTCTGACGTCGCCTTACTCCTGAGCACGCAAATCTAATCTCGCCGGGCTGACGCACCGTGTTCTCGCTAACTGTTAGGATCGCCGTAGTATACGCATCACTGCATCTTGGTTATATAATTTAGGTGTAGTTTTAACAACAGAGTTAATAACTTAATATGGCTTTGGCTTTACAAATCAAATGTGAGCTCCTGTGAACAAGTGTTAGTTGTACCATGGTTGTACGAACGAGCGTCGTGTTGGTAAAAAAATTAACACTATGAAAAGTTGTTACCAAGTTGCTAAATCTCATACTTACTCTAAATAGGGGTTTAGTGAAGATCTCATATCTCTAAATCCACTGAAATCCACCAATGCAATGATACGATAACTCAATTATCAATAATTGGTCAAACCTGTGATAGCCCTAAATAAACCAGTCATGATCAAACAATCAGATTTTAAAAATAGTCTTGGGTTTTCGTCACTATAAGCGTGCTATAAGAAATGTCGGCGTACGAACGAAAAAAAAGTGCTAGTACTATACCGACAAAAAAAAACCATACCTAGCATTATTGGATTGGCTGTATTCACTCAGCAAACTAAAGCCGTGAGCGTCACATCCACTTTAGAATTTACGCATTCCGGCTATTTTTGGTTTGTTCATAGTCGGTTTTACAGTAATGGCATTCCAGCGTCGTTTTGGCCTTACTATTAAACTGTTGTCAAACAAAGCACATAGGTGGTTTTACCGGTTTGTACTAAGGAAACGCGGTTGAAACCACCTGACTTTCTTGGCACGTTTTGCTATAAAAACTGGTCTTTTTGTGTTCCGGGCATGGGCGTTTTGTCTTTAATTTGTGCTAAGCCTCACTTAACCGCAATGATAGTTTTGTTGGCACGTTTTACGGTGTTTATTACCAGACAACACTTGTGGGTGTTGTCAAGCGACCAAACGACATGACTCATTCCTGATTGACCAATGACGAAAGAGAATTCATGACGTCACTCACTAGTGCCAGTCATTGGGGATCAAACAAAGAGCTCTCGAACTCACATATCGAAGTCATATTTCTCAAGATACTGGCCTGCTTTTTGTACAAGGAGAAGCTTTTGCGTCGCTTAAACGAAGGAATACTGTTCTGTGAGTATACTTTGGGTTGTATGTGTTAAGATCAAGGGAAATAAAGCGCTCTAACGCGACTTCGTGGTCGAAATCGGCGTGCGTTTGTGTGTGACCACATATCGTTTGCCTTTCATTATTCGGCCCTTCCTCGGAAAGCGTTTCGATAAAGGTCAACTTTTGAAATATATCTTTAGCTTTTCTGAACCTTATACAGTGGTTCAACGATTGTATAAGTTTTCTGAACGGTTTAAAACGCCGTGAGCTTGAAGGGAAAGAGAATATTGAGATAATGTATCCGTGATTGTGTCCACGTCTAATATTATATCAACTCAAAGGGAAGTTGTAGTCCAACTACGAGGACTCGAAATATAAAATCTGCATATATCAATGTCTTCTTGCCTTTCAGCTTACATATAACACTTCGACGAACGTTTTAACGATCAGTAAGTTTCTCTCGATGTTTTCTGTCCGAGAACGCTGTTTATAGTACGAGTTTTACTAGGTTTTTTGAGAGCAAATCTTGGGCAAACATAAAAATTTTTCAGCGTCGGCTTTGTCCTTTGTTTTAGATTCGGTCACGAAATCTTTATAAATTGTTGTTCGTCTTTGCTTTTTTAAATGTTCTCTCGATAAAAGAATATCGGTAGAGGCAAGAATCCTAAACCTTGTTTAAGTTTATAAAATTTCTTAGCTGTTTTTGTTGGCAACAAAAGAGATGTAAGTGAGAGCAAAGATAATATTTCATAATGTGGCAAATATGGAACCTATTGTTTTACATTTTTCTTCATTCAAAGGCGTCTAGGATTGTAAACGTACCATCGCATCAAAACGGGTTTCTCTCTTCGCCCAAAAGCGACCTAAACTTGTGGGGAATAGTGCTTTTATAAGTCTTGGATAATACTCTTGTTATTCGAGATAGATAATATGGTTATACTGTTTAATCATTCGTCAGCAATAAAAGCTATATTTCGTTTTAAAAACATGTAGGTTATATTCCCTAATACATTCTCTAGAATTTGAAAGCTTTTCAGTTGAAAATAAAATGATTTTAAATCTCAATTGTAGTATTGGCTTTATGGCTTATGTAGTCATTGTATAATAATTATATATAAACCAGTTCTGTACATTACGAATATTTGTGGCATAACATACAAGACATTGTAAAGCTGTTTTAATATTAGTATCACCAAAATTTCGCTCGCAATTAAAGTATTCATCCGGTCAAATCATAAATATCTAGACCTAAAATGAAAGCAAATCCTTTGATGTTGTATATACTCTTTAAAACATCAAAGCATTCTGGAGTTACAACCATAATTTTGTATCTTTTCTACTTACAAGTAAGTTGGACAATGTAAAGCATCTAATCTAATATAAAAGAGAAACTCGGTAAGCTTTTGAGTTGGTGAAGTTTCAGTGACTTTCTCAGAAAGAATACTTCACAACAACAAAATTATGAAGCCAAAAGCTCTTTCACAGTCAAAATAATTGAATTTTGTTGTTTAGGCATTTGATAGCATGAGTTGCATCCTCTCTGTGTTTGGGGATGTGATTAATTTTCATCTTAAACTGTTTAGCATTGCTCTTGATACAAATTAAGAAAACACTCAGTAGAATTCCTCAGTTTTAGCAGCCTGAAAGAGCCATGTGCCTTGTGGACGTATCTGGTTATCAACTCAATTATGGCTGAAAGCTTTGACTCTGACGAACCTTTCTAAAATCTTTGTATGCAACTTTTCTAATATTACAGCTGGGAAAACATCTCAAAGCTTGACTGTTTGTCATAACAATTGAGAAGGCATTGTCCCCATAGGTTACAGGGTTTTACATAAGGAATGTAAGAAGCCTTTCTAAAATTGAGTGCAAATATTTACTTCAGGGACTTAATAAGAAATATATGAATTTGAAGGACATGTATAATAGTAATTAGAAACAGTGTACAAGGAAGAAAATGAGTAAAAAAAATTATGTGAAGGTAATAAAACATGTATACCACAGAAACTATTGGCATTCTTCACAAACCAGTATTTTTGTTTACATTGGCATATTGCTACCTTACATAATGAGGAATTATAAGTTTAAAGTGCATTGTAATAATCAATTGGAAATTTTAGGATGGAGAATCAGAATACACAACAACCTTCTCTATGCCGTGCCGGATGTGGTTTTTATGGTAATTCATCTTTCGATGGCATGTGTTCGAAATGTTTTAAGGATGCTCTAAGAAGAACGCAATCCACTTCCCCCACAGGATGCATAAGTCCTGCGACTATAACAGGTGGGTGTTGTTCATTAAATTGTTTGTTTTTTTGAGGTGAATTTGGTTTACACTTGTGTTGACATTTTTCATCCAAAATTATGTTAGGTTCAGCGACTTCAGATGAACCAAGTACATCGGGTATCCAAGAAACAACCCCCCCACCCACAATATCACCAGCTAGCGTGGAGAGAGAGCAACCTATTGCCGAATCAACTGGACCTGCCCCTGAGGTGGCGGCAGTTGTTGAAGGTGAAGATCAACAGGATTCCCCATCTAAAACTAAAAGGAAAAATAGATGTACAACCTGCCGAAAAAAGGTTGGCCTAACAGGTAAGATGTTTGGCAGTTTTATTACATAACATTTATGTAGAGATATCACCAATTCACATCACCTGCACTATGGGATCAGAACCTTATTTCACAGTATACGTGGGGCAACAGTTTTTAATGAATTTTGATAAATTAAACACCAGCAGAATGTTTGACTGTTGTTTCTGCTGTTGTTGGGAGAAAATTTGGACTAGAAGTTCAAATGCCCAACTCAGCATTCTTTATCCTGTAATTTCCCTACAATTAATTTAAAGAAGCATTAAGTATTTTGTGCATTAATTAATATACTTCTATATTTTTTAATTTCTGGTGACAAAATCATTGTCTGAATACCTAACAGACTCTAAATCCCTATTCCATATTTACATTGCAGGCTTTCAATGCAGATGTGGGGGATTATTTTGCAGTTTACATCGATATTCGGATAAACATGGATGCTCTTTTGACTACAAGGCGGAGGGGCAAGCAGAAATCAGAAAAAATAATCCGGTTATTGTTCGGGACAAAGTCCAAAAGATCTAAACCCTCCGCAATGACAATGCTTAGACAATGGAAATCAAAATTATCAAGCTGTGACACACTCAGAGCTGTGGTTTGTAGAAAATTTATGTAATGGGTCACTGAGAAACCCTGCAAAAAGCAAACCATATTATTCTTTCAAAGAAATGTCAGAATGTTTGTATGGCATGGTTTCCCCTAAACGTATAGGAGTGTCTGGCAGAAAGAGCTCAAATAGTTTTCATAAGTCTACAAAAAAATTAAAGGAATTCAATTTCATAACAGGCAAAAACCGGTGATTTAATTTTGTGTAAAATATATATAATCTTAGTGTATATGAGTAAAATTAATTGGGTTCCAGTATTTTGGGATAGATAGATTATGCAAATACATAACTAGTGTATACCGTTCCAGTTGTCATGGTAAAATGCATTCACATCATAAAACTATGGTACTAATGCTGATAGAAATCAAATGTGATGTCTTAGGATTTTGCTAACTGATAGGGGCTACAGATGCTTAATTTTGGGTTGTAGATAGTGTGTTAATTCCAGTCCATAGGCATATAAGGCTTGCTTAGCATTGAACAGGGTTATTAATTCTATCTGTATAATAAATGTGGTCTGCATCTGTATTCCTTGTCATTGTGGGAGTGGGATGCCAGTTATATATGCGTTTTACCATGACACCCAAAGTTATTTAACCAATACAAACTGTTCCTTACAATTTAAGATTTTTTCTGCAATGTTTATCTGCAAGAGAACTTTCTTGTGTATGCAATAATGGTATATATATTGATGGAAATAGCTTCTTAGTAACAGCCTTCCCTGTCACATAACGCTAGCTTATTGAGTGTTTCAAAACAGCCCAGAACCGTTAAAATAATCATTGAGTCGGATTAATTTCACTTCGTTCTCGAAATTATATACGGTACCATGAATACTCGATTTAGCACAGCGGCGCTTATTAGATTTCGACACTTCAATTTAGTGGGAGGCAAAATAAAGTATTCATGGTATTTATAGTGCTGTATGACGACATAGAAAAAACTCCAGCTTAAAATATACACAAAGGGAGAAGAAAGATAAACCTTGTTTCTTGTTATCAATCCACTAATTGCACGAAGTCTACACGAATTAATAGTTGGTTTTAGAAATCTTTGGCGGGTTTATTTGTAATCCCGTGAAGATAAATTCTCTGAAAACAAGAACGAAACGTGACCGATGCCACTGAACTGAATATTCTATTAAAACTGTACTGTCCGATTATTTTTGCCTGTACGAGAATGTATAGCTATTTTTGTCTTGAAACTGACGAGTAAATTTCTCACAAAATCCGAGATGCTGTGACGCTACGAGCTTTAAATCTTCAGAAAACAACGCGTTGTTTTTGCCTTAAATTCTATCAATTGCGTGGGCTTTTGTGATAATTAAGTATCAGCAATTTTTATTTCGTGTTGATATTATGCGCAAAATAAGTACTTCATTATTTTCATTATCGTAAAACATTGTCATTGTCGATATGAACGTTAAAAGAAAAATCGCGTCACAAAGTATTCTCCGGAAGTTTTACTGAATATTTTCAACATTAACAGACATTGTAAGCTCCGCACAATATCCTGGATAATATCTATCTTTGCAATGTCCGTAATTATGTATGCCTACGGTGATTTCATTTGACCAAAGAGTTGATATTTTACCGATATTTTGCAGGCTTTCTATACCTTTGAGGTCTAAAGACTTCTAACTTCTAGAGATTGTTCAAAAGTTTGCGATAGATTCCGTAATTGGCTGTCTTTTCTCCTGGCTTTTTCTCAAAATAACAAATCTGTTTGCAAATTTATTCCAGGAAATATCTTGTAAAATACAAAGGCTTTCTTTCATCGTAATTCCGTTAACACAGTTTCACTTTCAGTTTGGTGGTATGAGGTGATGATGATTAAACTCAATGATTAAACAGATAGAAACCTATAATGCTTTACTATATGGGGCCTACATTGGCTTACACTGGCGATTTATGTGCGAGTTTCTTCTTTTGATAGATGTGAACGAGTGATTAGTTATGGATGTTCAAATAAGAGCTCTTATACTGATGATCATTCATAACTACGTTCGTTCACATCTACCAAAAGAAGGAAGTCGCACAGAAAATCGCAACTTAAATTGCGAGTGTTAACGGGCCTTGACTCTGATAGTACGTCGCTATCGCTTATGTTTTATTGCGCTGTTGTGTTTGTATATAATGCGTATTTTGTAAATATGTTATTTAGACAATAAATTTCTGGTAATCGAGGATGGTTCGTGCCATTGCTGTTGATTTTTTTAGTAGGGTAGTCTGGTAGTTATAAGGCGGGCACTGCTAGGATTTAATATTTGGTATTTGAAAGTTTGAGTGGCACCTCCCTTCTCGTTGAACCTAACGAACCCGAATCTTGAATCTAGCGAGATTTGCTTTTTGGTGTTTTGAAACTTCTCGTAAATAGAAACAGTTCCGAACAGAGAGTCTTCGCTTCGTTATCTTTTAAAAAACCTTGCGGTACCATTTGGCTTTAGTTTTTCGAAGCAGGAATAGTACCCATCTCGCTTTGATGTTCAGTGCTGTTCTTTTAATGCTTCTTTCCATCGTGTACAATACTGAATGACAAAGGCTACAATTAACTGATTGAAACTTGGAAAACTTAGGAAATAAAACTTATGTAGGCTAGCTAGGTGCAGAAAACATTTCTAGATGAGAATGTATTTTTTGTTTATATCTGAGTAATTGGGGTAACTCGTTCTCAAAAAATCCAACGTATGCATTTGCCATTTTGGAAATAATATCCTGCTGCTGGGCTTCGTCCTCTTACTCAATCTTACATGATTACAATTCGTTGTTTTACTTATAAACTAATTAAGATGAAAAATGATTTGGTCACTTTAGCACCCAATATAATTAATGAACATATCAATTGACGTCTTATATACACGTGGTTGGTAACAATAATACAACTTCGTACCAGGAGTGCACTACTGCTGGATCCACCCGTGCTTCGTACCCCTTAACACAAAGTTCCTGACACATATATGGGACGGTTTTAAAGTCCGTTAAAGTTTAAAGTTTTTGCTTCTTGATAAGTTTCAAGACAGGTACAAAAACAAGTGTTTTTCTCAAACGCTAGACTAGCAGTTTTATCAATCCTTCAAAATTTAGAGGACACAAATTGAAGTAAGTATAATATATATGGGCACACTAAAAACTTCTACATAGATCAGTTTAGGCCTCCTTCGTGTCCTCCCCATAATCCCATGCGCGCTCGCTCAGCTTAGCCACTGATCTATGTAGAACTTGTAGTGTGCCTATATATACCTTGGGTTTGAGGTTGGCTTAGTAATACCATCGCTTGCTTATCGTGCAATGATCAAACGAATTGAAACTACATCCTTCATGAAATCTCGTTGGTCGCATTCCCTACTACTAAAATGCGCCGAGGCGGTGGAAGCGAACCACAAGCCAACCTTCCGAAAGCCATTTTGTATTCTTGTCTGAACTTTGAGCTGTATATGCCGTAAAGAAAGGGGTTGACACAGCTGTTTAGAAAAGCGAATGTCGCACATGTGAGGGTAATGGGGCTGTGCGCTGAGATTACATCGTACTTTGACATCATGAACGTGATACGTGAGGGGAGCCAGCCCGCAATGAGGGCAGTGCAGGCCGCCAGAGCAACGAAGGTCACCCTTCTCAATCTGCTCTCACGTTCACAAGTGTGATTTGGGAGCTTCTTCAAGGTGTAGTACATATGAGAGTAGAGCGCCACTATTGTGGACATTGGTAGGAGTGTCTGGGTAGTGAAATCTATCCAAGTCATTTCGGCATGACCTATAGGAAGACGAGACCATTTGCATTTCTTTGTTTCCTCATCGAACTTCACTCGGGACACCGTCGAGCTGCTCAATGCCGCTCCCCAGAGCCAAACGAGGATAACGGCGAGGATCGCGTGGCGGCGATTCAAGGAACGGTACACTTGCGGTTTCACGACTGCCAACCATCGTTCAAAAGATAGGAAAAGGCACGTGTAGACTGAAATGAAGCCGAGCGCGAAGGGCATCGAGGGAGGCCAGATTATTTTGCAATATAATTCCGAGGCAACTTGGCTGGTTACGGGCATTGGAGGAAGGTACACAAAACGACTGAAAGTTTGAAAGAAAAGTTTTGGTTTGGAAGGTGAACAAGTTTTGAGTCGACACCTTAAGAAGAATTTCAGCACCACAAAAACATAAAATAAACAAAAAGATTCCGAATACCTTTCGAGGAAAGGTATTCATAAAATCTAAAATGACAATGAATTTTGGCCCTGACCGACGATTAGTATCTATTTAGCTATTATGAAAAATGTTTACCTGAAGACTAGAAATATCGCGGTGAGGCAGTCAACGATAGCCAAGTTCAAAATGAAGATACTGTAAGGTTTTGTGAGAAACGTCCTTCGACGGCGAATGAGAACATATATGACGAAAGTGTTGCCCAAAAACGCGGTCGCAGAGATGATGGATATAATGAGGACAATGCCTTCATGAGCCATTTTGCTAGAGAGACTTCAAACTGGGGAAAAAAGTCCAATTTAACTTTAAAGAAGGCGAACAGCTGCAGGTGTTGTGTTGCTGCATAGTAACCATCAAAGACTTCGAACAAGCTATACGGAACATCGAAGTCAAAATTCAAAACGTTAAGATATTTTCTCAGTGTACGTTACCTGGACTATTTTGTACATAAAACTTACCTAAGCTAATATATCTAATAGAATAAAGAGATACTTACGTTTGCTCCAACGTGTCTTTATGTAGGCTTTCTATTGGAAAAGATGTGATCGTTTCAATCTAGTCTAGAGGTGCTATAATGTCATGCATACATAATTTTCCCTCTTGAAGCTCAACAAATTAGTAGCATGCTTAAAAAATACTTATGTTCCATTTAAAATCAACTTAGCACTTTTTCACGCCGCCGCCGGTATGCTTTTGCAATTACGCTTAACTTCGCGCATGTTTTGGTGACGTGGGCGCTAGATTGTTGCGGCAATGACGTACGGTAGTGACGATAATTGTCTTTGGTAATTTTTTTTATTTCCGAATATCAAAAAGGTGACTCGAAGTTTAGCGTCATTCATGGAACAGGATAATCACTTCTGCATGTCGTATTTACTCGTTTGAGCGCCACTGCGCTTTTTAGATTTTTAGAACTTCAGATGCGACGCTTAATCGAGGTCGGCGCTCAATCGGGGGCGGCGCTCTTTAAAAAGATATTATTTGTGAATTGTAACAAGAACTTTAAACAAAAAGAATTGAAAGTTAGATGTAGCCAAATGTGCCCATTTTTCCCCATACAATCAACTGATCGAAACTTGGAAAACTTAGGAAATAAAACTTATGTAGACTGAGGTGCAGAAAACATTTCTACATGAGAATGTATTTTTTGTTTATATCTGAGTAATTGGGCCGGACTCGTTCTCACAAAATTCAACGTATGCATTTGCCATTTTGGAAATAATTTCCTGCTGCTGGGCTTCGTCCTCTAACTCAATCTTACATAATTACAATTCGTTTTTTTTACTTATAAACTAATTAAGATGAAAAATGACTTGGTTACTTCAGCACCCAATATAATTAATGAACATATCAATTGCCGTCTTATATACACGTGGTTGGCACCAATAACACAACTTCGTACCCGTTAACACAAAAACCTGACACATATGGGACGGTTTTAAAGTCCGCTTTTGCTTCTTGATAAGTTTACTGCCAGACAGGTACAAAAACAAGTGTTTTTCTCAAACGCTAGACTAGAAGTTTTGTCACAAAGGACACAAATAGAAGTAACTATAATCTATTTAGGCACTCTACAAACTTTTACATAAATCAGTTTAGGCATCCTTCGCGTCCTCCCCATAATCCCACGAATTGAAACTGCATCCTTTATGCAGTCTCGTTGGTCGCATTCGCTACCACAAAAATGCGCCGACGCGGTGGAAGCGAACCACAAGCCAACCTTCCGAAAGCCATTTTGTATTCTTGTCTGAACTTTGAGCTGTATATGCCGTAAAGAAAGGGGTTGACACAGCTGTTTAGAAAAGCGATTGTCGCGCATGTGAGGATAAGGGGGCTGTGCGCTGAGATTAATTCGTACTTTGACATCATGAACGTGATACGTCTCGGTAACCAGCCCGCAATAAGGGCAGTGCAGGCCGCCAGAGCAACGAAGGTCACTCTTCTCAATCTGTACCCACGTTCACAAGTGTGATTTGGGAGCTTCTTCAAGGTGTGGTACATATGAGAGTAGAGCGCCACCATTGTGGACATTGGTAGGAGTGTCTGGGTAGTGAAATCTATCCAAATCAGTTCGACGTGACCTGTAGGAAGACGAGACCATTTGCATTTCTTTGTTTCCGCATCGAACTTTAGTCGGGACACCGTTGAGCTGCTCATTGCCACTCCCCAGAGCCAAACGAGAATAACGGCGGGGATCGCGTGGCGGCGATTCAAGGAACGGTACACTTGCGGTTTCACGACTGCCAACCATCGTTCAAAAGATAGGAAAAGGCACGTGTAGACTGAAATGTAGCCGAGGGTGAAGGGCATCATGGGAGGCCAGATTATTTTGCAATATAATTCCGAGGCAACTTTGCTGGTTACAGGCATTGGAGGAAGGTACGCAAAACGACTGAAAGTTTGAAAGAAAAATTTGGTTTTTGAGGTGACAAGTGTGAGTCGACACCTTAAGAAGAATTTCAGCACCAAAAAACATAAAATAAACAAAAAGAATCCGAATACCTTTGGAGGAAAGGAAAGGTATTCATCAAATCAAAAATGACAATGAATTTAATATCAGTTGAAATTGAAATAGAAGATTGTATTGCCATTGGAATTGACCGGCGATTAGTATATATTTACCTGTGAAAAATGTTTACCTGAAGACTAAAAATATTGCGGTGAGGCAGTCGACGATAGCCAAGTTCAAAATGAAGATACTGTAAGGTTTTGTGAGAAACGTCCTTCGACGGCGAATGAGAACATATATGACGAAAGTGTTGCCCAAAAACGCGGTCGCAGAGATGATGGATATAATGAGGACAATGCCTTCATGAGCCATTTTGCTAGAGAGAAAACTGGGGAAAAAAGTCCAATTTAACTTTAAAGAAGGCGAACAGCTGCAGGTGTTGTGTTGCTGCAGAGTAACCATCAAAGACTTCGAAGAAGCTATACGGAACATCGAAGTCAAAATTCAAAACGTTAAGATATTTTCTGCATGCACGTTTCCTGGACTCTTTTGTACTTAAAACTCACCTAAGATAATATATCTGAATAAAATAAAGAAGTACATACGTTTGCTCCAACGCGTTTTTATGTAGCCTTTCTATTGGAAAAGATGTGATCGTTTTCAATCTAATCTAGAGGTGCAACAGTGTCATGCATGCATAATTTTCCCTCTCGAAGCTCAACAAATTAGTAGCATGCGGTATTGTTTTCAAGAGGTGATGTCAATATATGTGAGAAATTTTTAGCTGCTAAATGAATTGCGGTATCACTTTTAATTCCCTTACACTAGCTTCCGTTGATGGGCATTAGGGACAAAACGTCTCTATGGAGTTATGCATCTCTTTGCAAGTACTATCAGGAAATATCGGGGCATCGTCATATGTGTTTTGAAAGATCCAAATGTGGGCGAGATAGCCGGGGATTTGATGACGTGTGTGATTTGTAAATTCGACTTCGTGAACAGTCAGTTTTTAAACAGCGACCCCTGCCCTGTATCTTGTCCACTCGTTCTCATCCATCAGAAGTAGAAAATAGGGTACATATAAAAACTTAAGAAACGCACACTCGTCTTGATCACATTTTTATATTGTTCTCAGAAAATTGATACATTCCTTCTGGCTAACTTTGTGTCCCTTTGATGTTACAAAATACTTTACTATGTTCACATTTTTTACCAACAAACACCTTTAATATAAACAAATGCATTTATTTTTACTTTAGAGCCCTTCCCACTATAGTCACCTGCGATTTTTGTTGCAATGTTAGGTCTTGCAAGGTTCATATATATTACGACACATTCGTTCTCTCTTATAAACATTATAAACACATTTAGTTGACCAGAATTGCTGAAAAATTCAAGTTCTTGCAGTGATCGACTATTTAGTCAAAATACAAAAACCTTCCCACCTCATTCTAGGCAGAATTATTTGCCAGAAAACAGTAAAAAACCCCGCAACTAATTGAGAGGCTTTTGTATTTTGACTGTAACTAGTTTTATTAGGCAGGTTGATGTGGCAGCCATCTTGGTTGTTCTTCATTTTCAAATGTACAAATGGTATTTCCATTGTTCTAAGCATGCAATTTGGTTATTTGAAATTGTCGAAAAATAGGTGGGCATAGTATTTAGTTCAAAAATAAACAAGATTTACTTCATAGAATCAACAAAAATGTACTGCCTTATGTCACCACACTAGATCATGATTTCATATGCAAACAAACTATGCAGTTGTTTCACTCCATAGAGATTCTAGAATTGACTCTTGCAATTGTTTAATGCCATAGAGATTCTAGAATTTACTCTAGCCATTAAAATGAACTCATCTAAAGAAGCTTGTATTTTGGATGAATACATGTCTTAGATTGTCTTTCCTCACATTTCATTTATTTCATACAATGTTTATAGTGTATCAAAGTCTGACAGTTGATTTGTCCTCTTGCTCCAAAAAATCCCCAGAAATATAAAGATTTGCATAACTTGTTGGGTTTCCTGGACATGGTTATGTCAACATTGACATCAGAATAAGTTCCAATTGATTTGACATCAAAAATATTCACAATATGTCTTCATTGTATTTACAAAAAAGTTTAGAAAATCTGCAAAAGGAATAGAACATAATGAATTGCATTTACAACACAGTTTATTCAACTTTTGCTAAATTACTTTAGAGCATGTCCAAAATATTGTTGAGTTGAAATTTCGGATTGATTGCACATACCTGATTATTACTCTTGAGCTACATTGCTGCCTTCTTTAATTTCTACGCCATTTGGTGTTAGTCTACTATCTACACTATGATCCTGATATCCACCTTTGCTTTTCATTCTGTATGTAACATCATTGAGCTAAATAATCAGATTAAATCATTTCAAATCATAAAACTAAATCTGAATAAAGCTGTGCGAGGTTCGAACACAAAATAGAAAGCACATTTCCATACATCTTATCAACTCTTTCTCAGTCAAACAGGATTTGACAGCACAGAATTGAATACACATGCAGACTTAATCATTACACTATAGACATGGCTGTCTGAACATTGTTAAGATTTTTTCTCATTAAAGAAAAATAACTCAGAGATATAAAGACTTGTGTCCAAGACAACAATTGTTTAAATTTATGGCTCACATGAGTTATATTTGCTTGATATTTTTAAACTCTTGAATACCTGATATGACAATTTCCTAGTGTAAACACCTAACCATATCAATTTATTTTTAGGAGCAATCATAGGAAAATTCAAAACATAAATAAATATACTGGCACAAGCTGGATGGAAGTTAAAAACAAAACAAAGTTATTAGTCTGCTTGTGAACCCATTCTCAGCTTTCAGTTTCAATTTTCTTGTGGGGAAAAGCACACTAATTTAAGGATTATAAATAGGAACATACAAAGTTCAAGTGGGGGGGATTAATCCCTGATGCCATCTGGAAGTTCGTATGAAAGGTATTCTATGAATTTATGAAGCAGTTTTCTTGGGGCATACACAAGCATTTGGCTGTGAAACAAGGATGGCCAAAGTCTTATATTGCTGTGATATTTTAAAATTCTGACATTCACTTGAGTTTACCAACATTCTCCCACCCACCCTCGACGATATTGTTGGTAAAACCAAAAACAGTTTACGGTGAAGCAGAATCATCACGTTCATAAGCATATAAGATTTCTCCAAATTAGTTGCTCGTGTTTTCTCGCTCTGCCCACCTTCAGGAAACATGGCTAGGAAACAATGTCTCCACAACAGTAATTTTGGATGGCCATGAGTCACGTTTGTGTCACATGAATCTTCGACTTTCCAAAAAAAGGGGAAATGAGTATTTGTCAGGGTATAAAACGTGTTTGACATGAGACGCTAATCTAAACATGCCATCTATAATGAGCTCGAGAATTGCCAAATAATCCCCCAGGAATTCAACATACATTCGCAATTGCATCGACAGTCATTTGGATTAGGCATCACCGGCCCCTAAAATTATTCATATATTTCTTTGCTAATGTCTAAATCAATATTGGCCACACTTGGAGCTGGTTTCTTTGCGATCGCCCAATGTTTTCGTCTCAGCCCGCTAACACAGCGCAACAACGAGCAGGAATAATTGTTTTGTTTCTTTAATTTTTTGTCCAATTCTCGGCAACCGTACTGGCTACAAAATAATCGAGTGCCAGGCGGATATTCGCACTTATTCTTTCGCCCGAACCCCGAGGAAATGCGATGCAACTTTGGTGTAGAAAACAAACATTTAAAGAAACCTTCACTTCTAATTTCTCTGTTGTAAACAACTAGACATGGATAGCTTTGATGCACGGCCGATACAATTTAAATCACAAAAAATCAACACTTGTCCTACTTACATCGACCGATACTTGTACTTCTCCTGACCCAATATGGCCCGTGTGCTGTGAAAAACAAGACATTTATTTTTTAAAGTTCGCACACACGAACCCAATTCTGCATTATTAAATGTCCACTAAACATTCAGATTGTTTATTAGACCTTGCGTGTCTAATTGGCGTCAAAACTACACCACAACACACCTGGAAATTCATTGGCTCCCCTATCATACTTCTGTCAATCCTTGGCCGTCTCTAGAGGAACAAAACAACGATATTATGGAGTATTTCAACACGAACAGGAATATATCGGTCGCCATTGCCTACCGGCGGAGGCTGCTCTGTTATACAGCAGAAACATAGCCAACTCGGACTCATAACCATGCCAATTTTAAACGGTATATCGAAGTGTAATCCCTGTTTGTATAACGCTGAAAATCGTTGCCCTATGACAGCATATTATCTCAAGATTTCATCCCAAAATTTCTCTTCTCTATGTCAAATATTGCGACTATGAGAGGAGTGGTGCAAAGAATGCGATATGGGAGGCGCGGCGACAAATTTTACGCCACGTAACGGTAAATTTGCGGGACAATTTTATCGAATGGCGAAGCAAACGAACGAAGATGAAGGTCATCCAGAATCGAACATGAAAATTGTGACATCGAAACCGTTCCAAATCGTAATTTGTTACTCCTGGTAAGTGCTTTGTTTTACTTTTTCGCGCAGTAAATTCGATTTTACCGTAACAAACAGGCAAAGTGTGTTATACTCCTTGTAAATATATTGACCTTGCATTAATCATTTTGTCTTATAAATCAACCACGAGGGTGCAAAAATATATTATTATCGAAGAATTGTTTCGATCAATTTGGCCCAAATATTTGGAAATAGCATATGTTCAAAACTGCTGATGGTGTATCAGATAAATGTCATTTTTGAAAATTGCATGAGTTTTTTAATTGTAATGCACAGATTGATATTGTTGAGAGGTTGTATTTTCCAAGATCTGAGCTTCCTGAGCCATATATCACACCAATTTAAATGTCTTGAGTGAGGGTTTATGTCTAGCAGGCTTGTAGCCATGCCAACATTCTGACCTAGACCAGTTCTCTTGAAAATGCAGTGAAACCCTCAAGCAACAGCAGGAGCACTATTTGACAGGTTAGCTTGTAAAATTGAAGACTTGCTCAATAGCAAAGCAAAACTCTTCATTGAACTGATTATAGGTTTAGTAATTTTAAATATATGATGGTGGTCGCAAAAGTACCAGCATATTCGGATTCACTTCAAACCAAGCAAGAACTGGCTCTTTAGTTTTCTCCCAGAGTTTTTCCCTGAGTTCTTCGCTCAGTATCCTGGTGAACAACTTTTTGGAATGAACAGACCTATTAAAACACCAAAGGGTTGCCAAAATAGTGTGTTGCCTGATAGGCTGTCTACATTCAATGCCATTAGCGCATCAATCACGTCATTTACATAGATAATTCACACAATAGTTATACTCCATTGTCATTCAATGAAGTGTCTGCAAGCATTGCAGAGCACCAGCTGGTGACAGAAACCTACTCATTTTCTTTATCATAGAAAAAAAGCCTTCACAAGGAGATATTCCTCACAGAAATATTCCTCTAGAATCAGGAATGTTTTATATATAAGGTCAAAATTTGGCGGTGTGTACGAATACATCGATACAATTTCTATTTATACTTTAAAAGTTATCGGATTCAATGATGCTATTAAGTGCATCTTG